AACTTTCATGTTTTCAGTGATGGGGATGGCAACTCATGCGACAGTTTGATCTACATAGACGTTTCAAAAAATATATTCTGTTCACATCATACCATAATGTGAAGAATCAATTGCTGTTGTTTCTAAATTTCTGCATGCTTACAAAAATTTTTTTTTTTTCACTTCGAAAAAGATTTTATATCAAGGGCCTCAAACACACGGCACATGCGGCCCGCTAACCTTTCTCAAGCGGCGCACAGCCCGCATATGACAGCTTCATTCCATATTTTTTAGATGACATTGTGACTGTTACATTGCTAAGTGGGGCTCGGATTGTTTTGTGTTAGATTGGACAAGAAGGCTTGTGACACGCGACCCGAGCCGTAATGGGAAATTCCTGAGGATGAGTGGTCATTGTGCGTTGGGGCTTCGAACTGCGAAGCTCGGGAAGGTCAGCGTCGGTGCAACAACGGAAGCAGTAGAGCAGCCCGGTTCTGAGGCTGTCAGCAAAGAGGTCCCGGAAGTGGTCGTTGATCAACACTCGAGTGAGGCTGAACTGGAAGAAGTATAAGTGTGCGAATATCAAAATTCTTGAATACAAATCGAATAAGAATACATAGCTTCGAATATGAATAGAATATCGAATAATGAAGAGGTGCAAGTTTTTTTCGCCAGTAATGTTTTACTCAATCTTATACTTATGTTGGAAACAGTACAATGTTATTACAATCAGTTATTACACACAAAAATAAAAAAAAAATGTCACCATCTGTACTTGCCAGAAAGCATAAGACTGTAATAGTTGAGCTTGTGACTGGGATGTTTTGGGTTCAATCCACATGTTGAACAAACCTTTGCATCTTTTTTTTTTTATTACAAAAGAAAAGAAAAGCTTTCGAACCTGTCATGATGACTAGTGAGCATGAAAGGACTAGTTTGATTGTGTAACAGTTGCCGTCTACTTAAATCATATTAACGATTAGGTCTATGCCTAGGTTGTCACTATTCATCCAGGTTCCCACACTATCCATTTTGGTTCGAAAAATCCTGATTCAATGGTTTTATTTTCTCCCCTGTTCTCATGGGTCAAGCCACTAAGGGAAATAGGAGTACTTAGAGCGTTTTTTAATTGCACAGCAATACTCATTATCTCGCTTGCTTCGGTTGCCTTTCTCGAGGACTGCACGCTCGCCATTTTCCGATCAAGAATGCTGTGGTGTGCTGATAGCAGCGCGATCGTGGCCGAGGTGTATTAGATAGCGCGAGGTAAGCGTGCAAGATGGATTATTACTGATGTGGGATAGGAAGACGCCCCAAATACACCTTTTTATTAACAGAGCCACAACTCCTGGTAGCGAGGGCACTATTTTGCTGCATTGCAACCCCCTTCGACGCACTAAGTGCCGACGGCAGTAAACCGACATTCGCTAAAGAGCGAGATTGCAGCAACGAAATAACAGAGAGTTGATTGCAAGAGACGTTGCCGTGTGAGCACGATGCACGTACGACAGATTTTCAAAGGTGCTGTCGGGAACCCAGCAGAACTACGCATTAATACGTCCGTCACCTTCCGTGCACCACCATTAGCAACGGAGAACTATATGTGGTAACGCCTTTGTAACGGTACCAAAAGTACATGGCCTTTTCTATGTTTGCTATTGCATGAAAAAACAATTCAGCTCATTCGCATGACCATATCCGCTACCATGAAATCATTCCGGAATTATGAAGAGAGTATACATGCAGAAGCAGTGGCACAGCTGACAAACGACTTGTTAGCCTTCGACATGTGGGCGTACGTTTGTACGGCGATCCATTAGCGAAAATTGGTGTGCCTATGCATGAAACGCATTACCATCGTACGTCAAGCTGAGCGCGTCTCTAGCTACTTGCGTGCAGTGCGTCTACTAAGCTCACTCCATCAGCGCCGCACCTTGCAACATATGCGCGTGCATTTGCCCTTGCGTGGAGGTATTTTTATTGCGAAAGCAATTATATGGACAGTCTCGGCTGGCTTTCGCCGCTGCCATTATCATGCACCATGTATGCATACAAATCTAAATATGTGAAGACTCAAGAAAGAAAAAAAGCCACCTGCGCTCGGCACCCAGCTTGTCGTGATGCGCCAACAGGTGCTTATCTCCTACATTTACTTTGCCCCGTGGAGGGGGGCAGAGGTGCTAAGTGCTTGTGTGCGCGCGTGCTTATGCTTCGGTGGGGAGAATCGTGTGCCTTGGCCTTTCACCGGAACGATTGCGTTAGTTGCCTGGGCCACAAAGGTCACTTCGCTCGCTGCACAGACCCCGTTTGTGAAAAGAGCGCATTTTTCAAATACAGTGAAGTAACAACTGGGACACTCGTTAGTTCGCACATATATCTGTACCTGTGATTGTTTCGTGCGCCGTTTCTTTTAAACAGCACGTTAAGCGTCGAGCTGTAAACGTTGTTTGTAGCCCTCGTCTTGTGTGTGTTGTTTTCGTGTATAATTTGCGTCATTTGTGAGCAGCGTGCTACAAGTTTCAATCTGCTAGCCGTTCTCAGCGTTACATTCCAAGGTATTCAATTGTTGCTATCGCATTCATTGCTTCGCCCTTGTGGCAAAACATACTTTTTTTTTTCCTCTTCGTGCTCACAGCACGTGACTCAGCAACGTTGTGAAGACTATTTTATAGAGTCAATGCGGCAGCGGGTAGTTGCCTTAGTTTCCACGAGCGATACGCTCTTGCGGTCCCGTGCACAAGGCGCGAAAGCAGACGCGTGTGCTAAACCGCTAAGCCACACGTACTGCCGTGCAAGCAGTACATGATTTAGATTGATTGAGATGTTTATGGTTGGTAGGTTGGTCGCGATGACATTTTGCTGCATTCATCGGTAGCCGTCATCACGCTCCCTGGAATTTCCATGCAGGTATCACCGCACACACGCCGAAGTCAAAGTAATTACTGCATGATCTACTGAGGCTATTATGGCAAATGTGCAAAATCCTAAGTTCTTCACAGTGACATATGTGAACGAATATTCATGAATATTGAATATTAGAGGAATATTTGAGTTTGAATATTTAAAATTTTTGAATATGTGAATTTTGAATTATCAAATAGAATACAAATGCAATGTTTGACGAACATTCGAAATTTGCAGATATTCGCACACCTCTAGCAGGAATTTTTGGTACTGCAACGCCGTCTTGTATATCTACCGGCTAGGGCTAGAGTTGGCTATAACACAGATTGTTGTTAGCTCTGTTTTCAGTCCATTTTAGACTGGTGTGTATATATAGTGTTAGTGAATTTTGACTGCTTTAAAGTGAATTCTGTGTGTTTGCTTCGTCTGTCCTTTGTATAAAGAGTCTTTTGCGACGCCCTTCTCCCGTCTCTCCCAATCCAATCCGTTGCAAATGCTCCCAAGATTAATCATGACATATGTCAAACTCGGATGTATAAAATTATTGGCTATATGGAACAGTTTTTTGTGCTGATAAGTTTATCTATATCGAACAGTCGAGAAATTTCCTTGAATTTTTCATGCAAAAGTGACAAACCGGTGCACGTGTATATTAAACTTCTGCACTGCGGGACATCCGCTATATCGAACGATGCGTCATGCAGAGGCCCGGAAAGTGCTTTTTTTCCTAGCAAATATTGATCAATTTTTGGCTTCATTCTATCAAGTTGCGATCCCTTCGCGTGTGCAGGTAACAAAAAGGCGGTATTATCCCATTATGCCGATCTCGTTCGTTGCGCAACACTCGCGAGTACACCGGTAGGTTTGATGCACGATCTGCAGGTCCTAACGCACGGGCATAGGGTTTGTGACTCGATCTCGTTGCAATGTTCCAATTTCTTTCCTTGTTTATTAGTGCACAATGGCATGCGAGTCTGAGAAGCATGACTTTCAAGATGTGCAGCCTCGTGACATACTTTTGCCGTTCTCGTTTAAAACGCATCTCTCAGAGACTGAGCATTTTCTGGCTTTTTGCATCAAAGCAGCTGAAAGCAGCGGCTGCCAACTACAAAGGCACAAGTGACATCAGTACCACCAACATGTCAACTGTAGGAGCTCAATGTTTTCTTTCGCGCCTTCTGTACTTGTGTACTTCTTGCCTCATTTCTGATAAACCCTCATCCAAAGTTGAACTAAATGTTGACCCGCACATAGTGATAAAATATACGACTGGTGCTTGGAGTGACATCAAGTAAAGCACTGTCGTACTTTCCTTGCTGGTCATTCGACGACTTCAGGTGCATCGTGACTGTTGACAACGGCGTACGGTGCCACGCTGAATCTTATCAACGTTTCTGGACACCACGTCAGACAGAGAGTGACTTCATCAGTGTAGATGACGACGTAGCTGTTTCTGACTGCATTGATGCTGAGATCATGGCTGTCGTTGCCGGTGCCGCGGAAGTGTACTCGTGTGGTTATGAATATGCCAACGCCTTTGCTGCCGCTGCTAACCAACCTTTAGCTGTGCTACAAAGCTTGTGTCGGCGTTTTGCGACAATTAACGTTATTCTGACCAAAGGATGTGAATTCGCTTGTTTGAAAAGCTTTAATGATATTGAGGATGACTGGAAGTTGACAACGTGCAAGAGGCAGGACAAGTTTACGGACCATTTTCTTGCAAAACAAAATGCGGTAACTTCCTGTTCACACCTTGTTCTTCATTATACTGTGATTGATTCGTTATGCTAGTGCCTGTAACGATTTCTGAAGCCTGAAATATTTTAAGTCTTAAATACGCATATTTTGTATATTGAATTCGCGATATATCGAGCTATTTCGCAATCCCCTTTGAGTTCGATATATCCACGATCGACTGTACATTTTTATAACGAATATTTGGATACAACGAACCTATCTTTGTGTAACATTCAACTTTGTTATAATGAGGTTTGAGTGCACGTGGAATTGCTTCACGGCTAGTCATAGTTCTGTCATAGTTTGATAAAGCCTCCTTTAGTAAAATTTATGTGTGATTATAATCATCTGAAACATTGCTCATTACATTAACACTGCAGTGTCGGACTCGAGCGATGACTTTGACGAGGACGACGAGGTGGTGGCCTGTGGGAGTATCATGGATATCCCCGGAGCATCGTTCATGATGGTTATTTGCTTTTTTGTGTATTTTGATAAGGAACCTTATATATTATTAGTTTTTTCATGCTTATCAACATTTTTGAAAATATTTTAGCTAATTGAGATATCTGTTCTTGTATAACAGTCTCTGTCCACAGTTTAAGAAAAATAATTTAGATGTGGACACTCCGCCCAAAGCACATCCCGTTAATGTTCGGCTCTTTCAGTCACTCTGGCCTCTAGGGTAGGCCCCCACGTTTCAGCACCCCCCACGCAACTGCAGCTGTCATATGCACTATAGACTACAAGTTGTGTACGTAGCATCTGTGACAGTGTGTTGTACGGGAAACACCGTGCAGGCAACTGCAGCGTTGGCCGAATGTGGCGTTTCTTGGTTGCAAAAAACGGTGCATGTGTTCATGTGCTCCTAGATTTTAATGCTATTGTGCATGGTGCATAAAAAAAAGTGGAATGCGCGTCTGCTTTATCACTCTTGGTCCATCAGGCCCCCATGTCGCAGCGCCCTTTTGCTTTTGTGCCAAGATACTGCGGCCGGCGCATGTACTAAAGCAAACTATATTTAGATACGGTCTCCATCCCGGCGAGCAGAGAGTGTCCACACCTAAATTATTTTTTCGCTCTATGTCTCTGCCATTATGTGAATGTCATTGTCTCTTGGGTACCGCATTCTTTTTTCATCTTTTTAATCTTATTGGCATTAACAGGCCTGTTTGCATTTTTCAATCCTACCAAATTCCCTGAAGCTTGATTGAAGAGGCTCTAAAGGCAAATGAAAATTTACGTCAGAGTGAAAGATCACAGTTTGAGGATGTCTAAAATCTCAGTATTATCAATAGCAGTGTTTTACTAGTTGAGAAATTGAGGCAAATGTACAACTATGTATGTTTGCCACGAGTGAGATATTTTGGAATCGGCCCGATAACATCGAGTTCACAGTACAATTAATTGCTAATATTCAAACTAGTTGAGATTAAAAAAAGAACCTTCAGTGCATTACAACAAGTATGCAGCTTGTCCATTTCTACTCGATTCATGAAAAAAATAACCGCTTGGTGTCACCACAGAGAACAGTGTGGGTGGTTCAAAAGTTCAGTTTCCACCGACCTGCTCATCTCTGTGGTAGTTTCGGCGTTGCGTACCACTGTGTGTGCTTTGTGTGTTCATGAAAGTTGCTGTGTCAGAAAGTTCAACAAAATGCCTGCGTGAATGAATGTGATGTTGCCAGGTGCCCCAGTGGTGTACACCTCTTGAGCTGCAGCAAAGAAACCGACGTGACTTTCCTCTGGGTGATGCAAAGCGAGCTCCTATGCTTGTAGTGGCCGAGTGCCATGAGTCTGTGCTAGCGTTGCGGGCCAATGTCTCGTCAAGTTCACCGACGACAAACCATCGCGGCAAGCTTCAGTGGCCGTTGCTGTTGCTCCCACTACTTTCACTTTGCTGCTGCGTTTTTCAGTGGCCACGCAGTAAGGGCGGCAACATTGGGCAAGGCAATTCCACGTCAGAATCACAGGCGGTTGATTTGAATAGCGCTAACAGCATTCGAACTATTAAAAGAATGATTTAATGTCAAAATAAGCATTTTCTTCACACAAGTAGTTCTACGGGTTTTCTGAACCGCTATTTCATCAACGTCAACTCAATATCTGTCTTCAGTGCCCCTTTAATATGTGTTGACCTAGCACAGCAACAACAGCATCAGCAAAGAAAAGAAAAAAATGCAACAGAGATTGATACTACCCTGCTTCTTATTCTTGATGGCGTCGAACTTTGGCTCGTAACACGATCTCACCAGTTCTGTGTGAACTTCCATGAAAAGACATTACTAGAACATGATTTCTCCAGTGTTGTGTGAACTTTTTTGAAAAAAAAAAAAACCATGAAAAACATTTTCTTGCTGGTCTCAGATAGTACTACTGGAGGTCTCATGACAATCATAAGACTCTGGTGCACGGTTAGCTTCAGGCAAGTTTTGTGAGTCCCTGTAGCAAGCAAGATTGGTATCAGCAGGGACTCTAAAAAAAGTTCACCGAGATAAAAAGGCAATACTTTGCCAAGCAGTCCCAGTTGTCACTGCTGCTTATAAATTACCATGAATAAACTGCAAACGATTTCCCAAAACAGGTTTACATTTGGAGATAGCTTAAAAAAAATCTCTACTATTCCCTGTTTTTCCTACTCTATCTTACAGACTTGGAAAATATTTCAGCTCCTCCAAGCGATGGCACTTGGAGGAGCTTTACCCACAGAGAATTAGAATTAGCATAAATGCTGTGTCTAATAGTGCGTACTAATTTTAGTGATGTTTAGCACTCCTCTAGGTTTGAAACATCAGCAACCTTGTCAATTTCTTCACGGACTTTGACTTTGCTGCTCAGCCAAATGTAATCTTTTAGGTGGCAGCGACAAACCTCAACTCATAATATGCTCAGTATTTACATTAGCCAAGAAAGAATACTTGTAGGTCAGGCAGAAACCAGCTAGGATAACTGTCTTTCATGCGTAAAGGACACGCACGCTGCAGTTCAGTGAAAAGATTTTTTCTTAGGCTGTGACCAAGTCTAGTACTGTGTCCATGGAATCTTTGTGAATGTTATTAAAGTTCACAGTTAAAAAGCTGTGCGCTTAATAGTACCAACAGTTGCTTCCTTTCTTGTGGTTTGCTTTTTATTTTGTTGCTGCTTTGATTCATCTCGAGTCACGCAACCTGAGAGTACTTTGTGTATATACCCGATAAATGTACCCCTGTTTTTGTTTTTTAAGCAGTTGTTTAATAGATACATTAGCCCACTGAGGCAGGTAGATTTTTTTTTTCAAAGTTTGTTTTTCTGTTGTCCTTGTTTTTAAGGTTGAATATTAATGAAGAAGATAAAGCATTTTGCTTTTTAAATCACCTCTCTAAACTGCAGACTAGTGTTAAACTGTTTGCTCAGGTCCGATTGGAGAGCTTTACAAAATTTACTATTATTGGTCAATGCTCCCAAAAACAGGTGTAGCTATATTTATTGGGCACTGATTGCTGATTAAAAGTATCTCATGGCACACAATCTTCTGTCCCTGCATGAATTTACACCAGCTGTGTTATGTTTTCGCGTCTGCACAGGCCGACTCACGCCCTGTGTTATGTTTTTGTGTCTGCACATGCCGGCTCACGCTAATATGCATGAGCTACATTGTGATTGTGCAGGAACGCTTCTTTGTGATGCTCAGTTGTGTTTTATGATTTATGCTTCAGTAACCTGATCAACTTGACATTAAGTGGAGTTCATCCTAAAATTTTGGCTCAAGATACAACTGTGAAGCCGCATTTCACTAAATGGCAGACTAATTGCTGACATCTCATTTGTGGTGCACATTATTGAATATTAATCTCACCTCTCCAGGAATGTTAACAATTGTTTGCACTACGGAGCCCTCGAAACTACGGCTTTTGGCTTAAAACTAGTTCGGTGACTGAAACTTGGCAGCATGTTTGCGATGGCGTACATGCTCAGTCTTGTTCACTCTGCCCAATTGTGTGAGCCCTTCATCCTTCTTGTCATCTGTCATTTCAGTCTAAGAATACTACACGAAAAGACCCACTGCAGGAGGCCTTGCTTGAGAGAATCCTGCAGAGCGCTTCAGAAGAATCCAGCGAAGGTTGTGAATATTTACTCATCTTCACAGTGCAGTTGTGAACACCTCATAGTACTGGCCTATCTCCGAGATTTATAACGGTGCATGCAGTCAGCAAAAGTGTAGCCTTTGAAGTTTGTTTCTGTTACTCAAAGGAAATATTACTCGAAGGCATAGATGTGGACACTATCTGTAACCTGCAAAGTGACACTAAACTGAGGAAGGAAAAGATAATTCATCAGTTTGCTAAGGTTACAAGCTCGTTGTTGTCTAAAAGAAAGCTTTTTTGTAATTAAGACGTTGACTTGAACATAAGAGAACGGCACATGAGTGTGCTGCTTTTCATGCGGACCTGTGCTTTGAGAATGGGCAAATGTAGCTGTTGCTGCGCCGAGAACCAGGTTATTAATTTTAACCTCACACTTGGGGAAAGTAAAACCATCTCATGTTGCCGATATGTGCAGTAAGGCACTGAGAGAGTTAGTTGCAACATATGGGCATGCTTAGCTGCTTACACCCTTCTAATAAAAGTGAGATATAAAGAATGCAAAATGCTAAAAGATGCAAGGAGCAAAACACTGCTTTACTTGCTAACCCGACTGGGTCAGATAATGGGAAAAGCAAGGCTTGTTCACCAACTAAAGCAGTCTCTGTAGGTAGCAAGAGTGATTCTTTGGAAGTAAAGCCTATGTATGGCGTCTAGTTAAAGCACGTTTCATGTTCACATACAATTTAGTAAGTCTGTTACTAGATCACAGGATGGGCTATGACACGGCAAATATATCTGTTTTGTGAAAAGAAAGGAAGTGTTATGCCACTGGCCAAGCATATTTACATGTACAGTGCTCACAGATTGATATGAGGTATCAGCTTTTATAGAAGCAACTGGTATTTTCAGTTACTCAAAATTATATTGTCATGCTGCAACGAATTTGGTCGCTAAAGTGAATGTCGGTTCTAACGTAAGCTTTGCGTCAATGTTATGCCGATATGGCACAAACTGAAGATGGTGGAAATGAAAGTAGTTAGCTCTATATTGTAGCATTTCAAGCTGTGAGCACTGTGCATTGCCAGAAGTTTGAAGCAGTTGTCACATTGCCATTGCCTGTTGTTTGATGATGTGCCTTTACTTGCAGTCAAAAGGCGAAAGGATGCCGATGGCTTCAGAAAATTAAAAAAAAAATCATTGCAGATGAAATCGTGGAACCAGAGGAATGCAAAAAGAAACGTAAGAAAGAAGCAAAGGAAGGCGATACAGAAGAGGCCAAAGCCACCGAAGTACCAGTAGAGGAGACGAAGGAAAAGGTGTCTGAGAAAGAGGGCAGTGGTGGTAGCTCTTCTGAAGAAATTGTGAGGAAAAAGAAACCTGGAAAGTACGAGAAGCTCTTGCGAAAAAATGTGTTTGCCGAGCTTGATGAGCTCGAGCCAAAGAAGGAAACAAGTAAGGAGTCTGACAAGGAAGAAGCCGCTGTGAAGCCTCCGAAAGTGTGAGTAACTGGCTCCTCATGAAGTGTTGGCGTCCAGCTTCATTGATTGCCTCTGCGGTGCCTCTGTGTCTTGCGTTGTTCGGTGCCCGCTATTGCTATTTGCTCTGTCTCATGTTTGTGCCATGCCATAGTACAGTTCTATTAGTTCAAAGCAGCACTGTAAAAGCAGGAGGTCCTTATAGTAGCACCGTGAAAAGGCATTTGGGACAAGTTGCAGATGGCGGTCATCTACTTCATTCCTTAGGTTATATTCTGTTTGCTCAGTGTTTGCCTATGACACAACAGTTCCTTTATGTCACAATGAGGGAGGCGCTAGATAAAATGGATGCATGGCCCTTGAGTGAATGTCCTCACTACCTGAAAGAGCTGTGCAGTAGTTGCGCAATAGCTGGGCCTTGGGTTCTCTCAGCAAGAATAAACTTAGGGTCCAATGTTTCTTTTGTGTTCTCAGCCTTCAGTAAACTGCTGCTTCTAGAAGAAGATCGTGCTTGCACTAATGAGAATGCTAGTTCATGAGGCAATTAACAATGTTAGAGTTTAAGGGGAAACACTGGTCTTAAAATGTTTTTTTTTAATTTTGAGTATTTACAGCTGAAAATTTTATGTGATATGTATTTCTCACAGCTGAAAACAAATATGCAATTAGTTTTCAGCTGTCACTTAGATTTTGAAATATTGGCTGTTCCATAAACTTACATTCTGCCCATTGTTCAGACTGCTTTCTCATAAAAGATTGGTCTTCTGTAAAGAACAGAGTGTGCAAGGAAACTAGAATTTTATTTTTAGCTTCATTAGTTCAAGAGTTATGGCCTTAACAAGTAGACTCGTCAGAAATTTGAAACTGTTGCTTAATTATATTAATAAATAAATCAATGTTCTTAATGAACTTATGTTTTGGTCTTGTTGCACTAATCAATGTATAAACTTTCAAACGCTGCAAGAATTATCAAAATACAACCACCAGATCAAAAGATAATGTGGGCAATGGCCTCGGACTTGATAAAAAATGTTGTTTTGAGAAAATGAGAAAAGAAGTTTGGGGGGGGGGGGGGGGGGGGGACATGGTTAGCATGTATATTCAACAGGTAATGGTGTAAATCAGTGCAGTCATGATGCTAGACGCCACCAGGAGTGTAGTCATCATTCTTCGAGCGCTTTCTTTTTATTGCCAGATGTTTCCATAGTTCAGATCGGCATACAGCGTTTTGACGTTACTTGCGCAGTCGGCAGTAACGTGCGTGCAAGCCTTTTACGAAACAGGAATCATTCCCACTTTCACGTAATATTTAAATGTCTTTGCATCTCTGTGAAACATTCAGAGTGAAAAAAAAAATTTAATTCTATGCAGCTTGTTGATTTGCTGTGCCGCGCCATTGATCTCGAACGGGCTGAGCGCCGCATACCCCCTTTCCCCCCGCTCTCGGTGAGCTCCGTACAAATTTCAGTTCCCTGCACTCATCAGATATCAGCACAAGTTCTGTGGCGATGCCATATTCCCGATCTTTCTCGGAAATGCTGCCAGGCTCGCCACACACACCGCACTTTATACACTAAAGCAGCTTGCAACCGTGAACGGCGCTCCAGTAGTTGCAGTCGCTTCCGAGTCTCAAAAAACAAACCCCCTTGCGTCACGAGGCTGACGTCGATGAAAGGTCCCTTTGAATGTCACTTGCACGACACGCAAGGGCTACTTTTTCAGCGTCGGAAACCAGGGGAGTGCCGACGTGCAGATCTCGCGTGTGATAGTTGTCCCTGGCTATCGCTTCCGTGATTAGCATTGGCACAGCCAGGTTTTTCCGTGTCCTCGGCGGCAGAGAGTGCCGCTGATAAGGCACTGCATGCTCTCATACGTCGTTTTCACTTCTTTTCGAACGTATGAGCTGTATCGAACTTTTGATGACCGCCTGTCATCGCAACGATCGCGCAACCGTCGCTTAGGCCTCGTCTCAAAATAGCAGATTGCATACTGCTGTCTAGCAGACGAATTTTTTGACATCCAATAGGGAACCGGGAAATGCCCCACATGATAAAAACGCACCAATGATGTGCAAGTATTTGGTTTTTTCTTATTCGCGATAGCTGCTTTGTGGCTAGACGAAGAGCATTCTTCTGCTAGGAACAGACAGAAGAATACGGCTTTCAAATGCGACCAAAATGGCCGCGCTATTTGGCGTGGTTCTCAGGTGCCGCGGCGTCGAACATGACCGTTTTTAAGGTGGTTTGACGAGAGAAAATGGTCATGAAACTGACTTTGAGACCGAATTACTCGACAAATACGCATTACATGGCAATATCACTTTAGGAACACCTTCTTCAGGCCCTATATATTATTAAAAAAAATACTTCAAAGAATCGGATTTTTCGGAAATTTTTTAGCCTTCAAGTCCCGTGTCTCCCCTTAATTGATGTAGCGATTAAAGTCAATGAAAGGTTGATGGCATGCTTGGTATAAGTTTAGGCAGCTGCAAAGTTTAGCATTGCTGCGTCTAGGTTTCTCAGCTTTCCTATTCCAGTAGCAAGTGCTTGAATCCTCATGTATGTGCCTTGGTTTTGGGCTGTTGTTATTTTGTGTGCCAATAAGCCCAACGCTGCTCACATACAGAGATTTAGGAGCACTGACAAAAAAAGCTTGCATCTTCTTTTTTTCTGTTACGATAGGTAGCCAACGACTGACTCATCATTGCTGGAAAGCTCATTTTGCTCGAGCGCGACGGTTAACGATTTGGAGGCTGTTTTATGGCACCCAGTTGCAATTTCAGTTTCAGAGTGCTAAGTGTGATGGGAGCTTCAGTGGTTTTCCTGTAAACATAGGCTACATGAGCACGGAAAACAATGTGCTTATGAGGACAGCATTGGTAACTCTTTTCAGCACAGGCTTCTTAAGTGCTGCTATAATCCCCCCTGAAGTGTTGTAGATATGTGTGACCCCCCCAAAAATGCACCGCCGAGGCAAGCACATAGGGTTTTGTATTCCCGTGCAAGTACCTATGCCCCTCTTTTTGCTGAAAAAGTCTGCAAAGAGAGTACACCCACAAGTTTTGTCGTAGCCAACTCAAACTTGTGATGCAGATTGCAGCTGCTTGTCTACTCAAAAACCAAAGGCATGTTATGCGTGCAGTGGCATGATATGCACTTCAAAACTTATTTTGAATATGTTGGGCTATATTATTTATTGATATTTCATAGGTGGTGCATGTGTGTACACACAAATATGTCCCGCAAGCTATCACGCCTTCAAAATTTTGTGTCTGTACTCCTTTAAATAAATATTTGGGGCCCTTGTGTTCATTTGGAGCAATGCCATGTCACTCTTGGGAGGCAGTTTCTGAATGTGTAAGAGTTGTCACGGTGGGCCAAGAGGGGATCATTCAGTTATTTGGAATGTAGTCACGCATAACTTGAGTGCTCCTGTTGACTCTACATCAGAGTAGGCGATCTTTGTTTCTTTCGTACCTCACGAGTGCACCTTTTATGCAGCACATTGCTCTGCTGCTGAGCATGTTGTTGAAAATTTAGTTCATTGCTTTAATTACCTACAATAGAAGGTTGCGAAATGTAGTGCGTTGTGTATTTGCATTTACATGTACACAAAAGAGTTAAAGTATGCTGTAATCTTGGTACACTCTAAGAAAAAAATGGAGTATTCAGGGAGTAGTTCTGTTTCACAACAGTATCTTCATCTGACTAGCTCGCGTTTTCTTTCTTGGAAACCTGGCGTTGGCCACTTTCCTGTCGGAAATGCTATGTCACACCAATAGCCAGAGGCCGGATTTCAAGGCACTAAAAAAGTGTGTTTTAGGCACCTAAGACAGGCAGGTAAAGCATCGTTTTAGGCCCTCAAAATTTTAGGCACAATAAAGTTCTACAGAAAGTGAAATATCCCAAAGCAACAATGTCGGTGACCAGCATCTACGGCAAGAAGAAAAAAAATGATATTGTTTAAGATAGCAGAAAAGTACCAACGATTGAACTATGGGCGTATATTTCCCGCACGATTCACAGTATGTGGTCTTTCGTTTTATTGTCCAGCATTGTGCATCAAGTGTCCACCATTCAATTAACACTCTCCTGGGTCTATTTCGTTTCGTTGTGCCTGGGAAGGGCAGCGCAGGAGCAAATAACCAGACCACTGATGCCCCCAGAAGAGAGGGATGCTAGGTCTAATCGCGTAAGACCAATTTCTTCCCTATTGGTGAACACCTTAAAGGGCCCTTACTAGGTTTGGATATTTCGAGCTGACAAGTGCAATAGTGCACTGGGCTCTCTAGATCATTCCTGTTAACATTTCCAAAATTACATTTCGCAGAAAAACACTCAGTTTCTAACGAATGCCACTTGCCCTTGTCGCGGGCGTGCACACCAATATCTAGGGAGTGACATACAGCAAGGAACGCCGCTTTTTTACTTTGAAATTGGTGGGCTGACGTCGCATACCGTAGTGCTCTTCATCAGACCTTCGTTAAATGTTGGCTATATCTAGAAAAACAAACACAAAATGTCCTGTATCCTGATTACATCCTGCATTTTAAACGGTACCTCATTGAGAACGTTGCACGTGACATTACTCTACTTGGCATGTGCAATTTGTGTGTTCTGTTGTGTAGCATGAATGAAGAGTACTTTGGTTTGAGCTAGCTGCTTCATATTATTTTAAAAGGAAAGCGCTTAAATAAAGGGAAAAGAATGTGCGCTTTGTCTCTATGTCTTTCTTTTCCCTATATCTTTACACTGTCCTTTCAAAATCAGCATAATGAACGAAAGCTGAGAAAAATAATAAAACACGCAAATGAAATCTTAGCTTATTATTTTTATTTTTGTTTTGAATAGCCTCGATGTGCTAATCACTAATCGGCCCTCATTTCGCGCCCGCCTCAGTGGACCAATCGTTATAGGGTGCTCCGCTGCTGACCCGAATACCGCGGACCTCCAGTATTTGCGGAGACCTCCAGTATGGCATCTCTCATATTCAAATTGTGTTTTTTTTAATGTAAAACCACACATACTGCCACTGCTACTGTTACTACTACTACTACGACTACTACTGGTACTACTACCCCATTTCGCTTGCGTTCGTCTTCTCGTCGTTCCTGCATTGTGCCTTCGCCAACCCTGACAACGCTTAGCTTGTGTTTGGTGTGTCGTCTCTGACCGCATTTTCAGTGGAGCGACGGGGTGTATCGCGGTCACAATACATGATCCTTGCCAAACTCTCTTAAAGTACACGCACTGACTGATCCATCTCACAGAAATGGGTAATACAAAACAGAGAACGTCGAAACGACACAACGTCGATGGCGTACGTACAAAAGTAGGCTGGGGAACGTCATGCGCACGTGACCTTGCTTACGCATGACGCATGTTTTCTTGGTGCGTGTGCGTCGTGTGATTGATTGTCTAGCCCAGATACCGAAGAGAACAGGGAAGGAATAAAGCTCGTGATGGCCTACATGGGACAAGAGGCAAGGAATTCAAGCTTGCTTCTTCGCATCATGCTTTGGTAACTCGTAGCGAACCAATTTGAAAAATCACCGTGGTAAAACACTTTTTACTGGGCACCCAATAAACTTCTAGTGTCTAACTACAACTTAATATGTCGTCTAGAGAGGGACGCTTAAAGACTAAATTACAAACAAAACAAAAGCCGCGTGCACATCAAATTTTTTTACCCGAAGGCGCGGCAGCAGATGGGTTACAATGTCGAAGAAAACATGCCTTCATTGACACAACACACTTTGTTCTCTTTATAAACCATTTCATTCTGCCATAAAACTAATAAAAAATGAATTAATAGAAAAATTATGACTGATATTACATTCTGAATTCATAGTTGCCATTGCGTGAAGAGGACTGTTTAGGTACATTTAGGTACATTAATTTTCAAATGTGAGTGTTACCATAAAAAGCTTGACGTAGAAGCTTTGATCGCAGTTTAATTCAATGCGATGATAGTAATTTGCATCCTACTTCATTTTTCATATTGTTACAGCTGTCATTTTTGAGTAATGGCTTAGGACAAACCTTGAAGCCCTGTTCTGTATTTTTTCATGTTTGTCACTTAAGGGCATATGACAAAGGATCTCATATGGAACAAGCGTATTCAATCACGCCGTGAATTTATGCTAAATACACAGTTTATTGTAAACATGCCAGCGCCTGTTTCAGGCTTCGCTGTATAAAGTATAACAATTTTGCAACCTTCGCCACCACTGAATCAACGAGATCATTTCATGAGTGGCCCTTCATGATTTTTCATTCATTCTCCAGCTACCCGCGGCTGCCCAGAAAAACCTGCTCTTCCTTTCCCACCTCAACGCCCAGGTTTGTCAGGGCGGTTCTTCAGTTCCTTCAGTGCATTGGACAGCTGTCTGTATAGAAGGCGTTCGGCGCGTCCTAGGCCATAAACGTGACTTTTATTTTCTTCCCCATCTTTAAATCTCTCTCCTTCTTCCACTGAGACGTTCTTCCACTTAGGGCTGCAGAAATAGCAGCTTTAGCACTCCTCATACTCCTTTTCCAATCGCTCGCAGCATGTCAGCCTTGTCTTCGTTGAATCTTATAGTGCTTGAAAATATCAATGTTGCCTTTTTTACATGAATAACGGTTTCACACCACACTCCAAAACAAAATGTGGGCTTGAATAGCGCTCATATAGGCGCTCATTTGAAAAGTAGGCATTTGTAGGCAGTAATAAGCATTTAGGCACGAACACCCAAAATAGGCATTTATAGGCACCATAAAAACTCTATGAAAGCCCTTCTTAACCTCTAATTCATGCTCATATATCAAAACGGCACTAATAGGAACACACGGAACAAAATAGGCATTTGCCTATTATCCGGTTTCTACTGATAACATGCGCACCATCCGCGACCGCGAACTAATGGAACCGTTGTGATAGCGTGAGGAATGTACTCGAACTAGAAGATATTATGTTGCGTAGCAGAAGCACTCCCAAAATACTCGATCTTTTTTTAGAATGTAGATGGAATTTCTGCATAAACAGAACAGTTGCCTCCAATTTGGTTGGTTTTGTTTGTGGCTGTCGCATTGCTATACCTTTGTAAATAAAGCTACCAATAAATGAAACATTTTCCTGGTCCCTTCAGTTAAGTCACAGTCACAGCAGTTGCATAAGGCAGTCACTCGTATTTGCGACATAGCTTTTGGATAGTGAAACCGGTCGATCAGTCTGTATGCAGCAGGGCAATCTGCCCCGAACTGACTGCTCACAGGCCACAGGCTGTACACTCATGGCTTCGATTCATAATCGCTCTTGTCTGGTCTTTTGTAGGAAAGCTTCGAAGAAAAGAAAAATCGTGTACAGCGATGATGACGACGCTGCAGACAAGCAGCCAACAAGCAGCTCACTCGAATCTTCTTCCAGTGACCAGAGTGAATCGGATAGCAGTGTAGGCTTTGCGCCTGCCCGCAAGAGAAAGGGCAAAAATGCAAAAAAGACTGCCAAAGCTTCTTCGGATGGCTCTGACTTTGCAGTAGGCAAGTCTAAGAAAGGGGGGGCCTCATCATCTTCAGATGCGAACAAGCGGAAGAAAAAGCGGAAGCGCATCAGGATGGCTTGTTCTACAGCTGATGAGAATGATGACGACGATGACAGCTGTGTGGAGATAATCCCTGGCCCTGTAAGTGCCTCAATGTTGTCCTCTAGCACTGTAATACCAAAAATTTCACTCAGCTGAAGGGGCCTGGTTGCTTACTTATATAACAGCAATTGCACAAACAGTCGTGGAGCTTTGTCAGGTAGAATATAATGTGCCGTATATATACACTCGAAACTCATTGTAACATTTAACAAAGTCACATTTTATATCAAAATAAGTTTGTTATATTTGAAAATTTGTTGTAAAAATTTATTCCAAACACTATATCTATTGCAAGACTATTTTTCATTTACTATGTTATAAGCGGTATTTCGTTATATGTGGCTTCTTATATTGATCTCTGAGTATAAAGAAAAATTAGGAATAAACTTATAAATTTTTTAAATATACAACCACTTTTACATCATCATCATCAGCCTGGCTATGCCCACTACAGGGCAAAAGCCTCTCCCATGATCTGCCAATCAACCTGGCCTTGTGCTTTCTGCTGCCACAGTATACCTGTGAACTTTTTAATTACATCGGCCCACCTAACTTTCTGTCTCCCCCTCGTGCGTTTGCCTTCTCTGGAAATCTAGTCTGTGATCATTAATGACTAACGGTTATCTTGCCTTCGTGGTACGCGCCCGGTCCCGGACCATTTCTTCTTCTTCTTGATTTCATTTATGATGTCCTTAACACATGTTTGCTCCCTTGTACACTCTGCTTTCTTCTTGCCTCTTAATGTTGCAGCTCTCATTTTATTTTCCATTGCTCTCTGCATCGTCCTCAACTTAAGTTGAATTTTACATACCCATATGCTTATTACAGTAAATTTTTTTGCTAATTATTTCTGGTTTGTTTACATACTATCTTAGCATCATTTGTATAGTGCCTAAAGTAAATGCTATAATGAATCCTTTCAGAGCCAAGAAGCAGACGGCAAAGGTCGTAAGAACATTCGCAAGCTCATCTCCGACAAGAAGCTTACCGAGGAGACTAAGGCCGCAGCACTGGCCGAAGAGGAGAGGAAGAAACGCATTGCAGAACGGCAGAAGCTGGTAGGTTTTGATGATCCCTGCCTTTGATGAAGTTGGTAACCTTGTTGTCCTTTCTTCCGACGCAATCAATTTCAGTATAATGAAGCTTTGGGCAAAGGACCGACCGAGGCTGACACGAAAGTGAAACAGCTGGTGCTCGAAGTGGATCTGAAGTCCAAAAAACCGCTTGTGGAGGTTGACGAAGCCCTTGTCAAGTCCATGAAACCTCACCAAGTCAAAGGTGAGGGATTATGTCCGCTTTCACCACGTCGCTTCCCGACTCATTTTGGTTGTGTAGGGACTCAGGTCAAAACATTGTAAGTGACATTGTGCATTGTGAGTAATGGCCTCTCGACTTACTACACTGCTGTAAAAAACGAAAAAAAAACAAACAAAAGGGGGTAAAGGATTAGTGTGCTTTCCAATATGTGGCAGAGTATGTACATTTGGCAATACTTGAAGGTTATCGTGTGCATGCCGACCAAAGACTTCAGCAGTGCCACAGTCCAGAATCTGTTTTTCGAGGAGAAGAAGATATCATTCGAGCTTCCCTCCCTCTTTTTGCTGTTTCTTAAAGGGGTATTGACAGCCCCGCCGCGGTGGTCTAGTGGCTAAGGTACTCGGCTGCTGACCCGCAGGGCGTGGGTTCGAATCCCGGCTGCGGCGGCTGCATTTCCGATGGAGCCGGAAATGTTGTAGGCCCGTGTGCTCAGATTTGGGTGCACATTAAAGAACCCCAGGTGGTCTAAATTTCCGGAGCCCTCCACTACGGCGTCTCTCATAATCATATAGTGGTTTTGGGACGTTAAACCCCACATATCAATCAATCAAAGGGGTATTGACACTTTCTTTCGGAGGCGAGTTTACTCTGCCATGAAAATCTCCTGCATACGGAGATGGCTCTGAGCAGATGTGAGGCTCAGCAAATGCTGATAAGATATTTTATTTTGATACATGTGTTAAAGTCAATTTTCTTGCAGCGCACCTCTTACACCACTAATGACTTGACGTCAGGCCGCAGTACTAATCCTGGTGACTTCACAGAGCAGTGTGGCTAGTTGTGATGACGTCGAGCACCAAAACACAAAAAATGGCAGCTTGCACATCGCCTTCTCGATCGTCTGTTCACACTGTGCAGGTCGTGTGCTTACTGTCATCCAGTTTACCTGTGAAGCGAGCTAGCGGAGTCTAGAATAGTGTACATTAAATGAGTACAAGTTGTACGTTTATCAGGGGGCAAAGGAATACTTTGATTTCGAAATTGTCATCATGGCGCCAATATATCGTCTAGTAAAGTCTCGCGCCAGTGAAATGGGGTATATAATAAGTTCCAACTGTGTCAGGGGGTAATATTATTGTTGCGATAAGAGACTTGGGACAGAGGACTATTCAGAGAGAGGCATTTGCGTCTTTTAGTGATCGTAACGCTGACTCGTATTTCAAGCACAGGATAATTGGTGCGCCAGACTTGGACTCAGACGTCATATACAGTAGACTCCTTTTAAATGAAACCTGAAGGGACCAGCAAAATGTGTTTCCTTTAAGGAGTTTGTTTACTGAGAGATAAACAGCAGTATAATATTCAAGTACGAAACCGAACATATTAGTGCCAGTTGTCCCATTTCAGCAGAAATTTCGTTTAAGAGAGTTTCGTTTAATAGGAGTCTACTGTGCCTTCTGGAATGCAGGGTATGTAACATGCAATAATACGTGGGCCAGGACAGACACAGCCGTTTAGAACTAGATTCAACAACCATCGGACAGAGGTACGTTCCATGCCAGGCCTTCCGCTTTCAAAACACAGCACATTGAAAGATCACACCTTTGATGACATCAGGGTCTCACTATCCGAAAACAATTTTCGAACAATCAGAGAGCGGGAACAGTGGGGATGTTACTTTATCTACAAATTCAGCTTGATAAAAAAAACGAAATAAATGAACGCCCAGGCTGCCCTGTCATCGTTGCAATCACTAAAAGACGCAAACGCCTCTCTAATCAGTCCTGTACCCCTAGTCTCCCATTGCAACAGTAATGCTACCCCCAATCAGTCCTGTACCCCTAGTCTCCCATTGCGACAGTAATACTACCTCCTGACATAGCTGTAAGTGTATGCACCTGACTATATAAAATTGGTTTGCCGCTTCAAGCATAGCCGGCACGCACAGATAAGTAGTCCCGCATGTCGTACAGTCTTTTTCTATCTTTTTTTTTTTAAACACACTTCTCCTTTTTCTTCAACGACAGGAGCCCATGCATGTAATGAATATCGATGGCGGTGCCACATTACGAGCCTTTTCATATCTTCTGGCGCCGACGACATGCACTCAAAACACTTAAGTTTCCCCCCACCTATTCGCCGTAAGCTTCAAAGATGGACAGGCCGCCCGCGGATTGCACCAGAAGATGCAATACTAAACGCGGGTCGTCACACTGTCTACTTCGGGAAAGAGTGGGTGCGTAGGGTGTATTGTTGTCAATGGTGACATGGCTCGTTTATTACTGCAATGTTCACGTTCGCCTTACTCTCATGAGATACACTCCTTCCTAATCCTTCTGTGGTTTTCTTCTTTTTTTCCTTAATTTTTTATTTTTTTCCCTTATTACTTTTCCCCCTTTTTCTTTTTCGTTCATCTTTCCCTTCTGTCCCCGACCCTCCTGTTTCAACAAGCTATAAGAAGACATGGAAGATCTGTAAATATTATTAGGCGTTGAAAAAGACGGGGCTGCTGTCCAAACGTCGGCTAAATAAACAGTTATGCGAAAGTGCATCTATTTTTATACTTATACTTTGCGGTAAACAATGTTACTCTTCAACGTATAATCCTTATATATATATATATGTGTGTGCGTGCGTATGTGTCTCATAACCTTATAGATAGCAATTTAGGGCTTTTTTTATGGCTGTCACCAAAATGACACGTGGAAAACTTTTATTTCAAAATTTACTATTACAACTGTGGTAAAAAGACATTACTGTCTTACCTGCTAAAATGAAGGTTGCAGATGCGATGGTCGCATATCAGTGAAGGCGAGATGCTACAGGCTATGCGATGCCAGTGCACGTCTAAGAACAGCAGATGGTCGAAATATCCAGAGCCCACCACTACCGTGTCGCTCATTTTTATATTGTGGTTTTGGGATGTAAAACACCAGATATCATCACACCTTACTGTCTTACACTTATCATTCTTTCTCATCTTACTGTGTTTATGCCACTTCTGAAAAGGCACAAAAGGTTCTTTTGGGTTCGTCACTGAGCCAAGTGAAATAGTATTTGATGCCGTGTATGCATATCTTGAAGTTGTGTGCTGCTGTGTGCTCTTTCTTTACCTTATTCCGAGCTAGTGAGGCATGATATGTAACAGATGCATCTGAAACGCAGGTGTCAAGTTTATGTATGATTGTCTGATTGAATCACTGGAGATGCTGAAGAAGGACCCCATAAAAGGATCAGGCTGTATTCTGGCCCATTGCATGGGTCTGGGAAAAACATTTCAGGTACGAAACATCTCTCCTATCCGAGAAGCTGAACTCAAAGAGAAAGTTCTGCGCATGACTGTTTTTTTCTTCTTTAGGTGGTAGACTTTTTGTACAACTCAAGTTAGCAAGGTGTTTTCTTTAGACTAATTTGTATAGAATGTCAGAATTCTAGCATGAGATTGTCAGTTTTACAAACATCGGTAACCTCAAAGCTTCATCGTCGTACAACTGTGGTAAGAGAGTGCACGTGGCATTGTCACGCTGAGCAAACAGTCTTTTGTTTCAACCAACATTTGCACACAGCTTGGGCATTGCCCTCCTGTGAATTAGAGTTCGAATGTGACACCATGTATGCTTTTATTTCCTATTGTCTAAAAAAGTCTACGCGAATTGTGTATGTTTGTGCATGAATTGTGCAATGTTTACTCCTGTGTGGGTTTATGCAAATATTCGAGCACTTTGAAATGAATGTTACAGTAATCGAATTCGCTTTGATTTGAATTTGTTACAAGAAATTTCGAAGTAATGAATATGTGTATATTAGTCTACATATAACCCCCTCTGTAAATGTGGTTTCAATGCAGTGGATGGGTGCTTTATTGTGAGTACACTTATACAGCGAAAATTCACGCTGCCACGGAGCTACTTCAAGGTTAAACATCGATTCATCATTTCTTAAGTATAAAGGCTTGTTATTTTGGCTTATATGTTTTAAGTATAGGAAACATAACATGTTTTTCAGGTTATCACTTGCATTCTACTGAAAGTCAAATCCTGCTATTATTCTAAAGTTGCTTCAACTTCTTCGTCAAAAAAAAAAAAAAAGAAGAGACATTTGCTGCTGCTTCGTTTCAATAAAAAAAAATATTGTGCTGGTTAGTTACTGCATGACTAATGTTCTCATTTTTATTTATAATATATGGTATATGCTACTCAAATTTGATTTAAAATTATTCAATCATATCACTAGTATTTGCTTTGAACTTTAGGGGAGATGCTACTGAAGTTTTTTTTCCAAAATTGTGTATTTTTTGCTTTTACTTACTTTCACAAGTTTAGTTTCTCTACTTTCGTCACACACACACAAAAAAATCTAGATTGTGATTAAGCACGAAGTAGGTTAAAATCAATTTTAAAGAATACATGGTTGCTTTTAAAAACCAAAAAGAACTCGTGTAGTTTTCTCCTGAAAATTGGCGCCTGGGTGCTTGCCACTGCATTTAGCATGAGTCTTTCACCAAAGTCACACGCTAAAAATAAACATTTTTCCCAGGCTCTCATGATAAAATCAATCATTAAATGAAAACATATATTTGCCATGTAGGTAAGCCTTTATTTCTACGTTTGAAGTGTGTTTTTCTCAAGTTGCAATTCAGGGCAAATTCTCGAGTTTGAACGCTTTTGGTACTTCTGATAAGCAGATAGGAATGAAATTTTTCCTACATACACCATAAAGGGGCCCTACAACACATTTAAAGTACACGTGGAATGGCTTCACGAAAGGAGCTTATTGTCTCGCGAATTGAGCACCGCAAAAAGTTTTAGAATCTATCCACTATGAGCAGAGTTGCAGATATTTGTCGCGTGCTGGAATTGCTTTCTTTCTGCTATGCTGTCGTTGCGACGAAAGCGCTGGAAGCTAAGCAAGGAGAGATGGTACTGGGTTAGAATGTACGTCACTTGCGCCTTGTGAACTACAACAGTCTTTTTTTCCCTTCGAATGCGAGGCTTTTCAGTGTGACTGCGTGCTCGCGCATAGGCACGTCGCAGCCTGCCACAACTGCGGCAGTATCTCCCAGGTGTGCCATGCTCAGAAAAGCCATATTGGAGTGCAATTATCTCTTTTAAGACCTTCTTCACTTATACAGTTATTATGAACTCAAAGTAAGCATTTAGTATGGGCTGAGCATTTTAAGACTTCTCATATCAAAATTTTGCTTGCTCATTAAAATGTCTTATACACAACTTCTTGTCAGTTATTTTTATTTTAAAATTAATGTGAAGCAATAAGCCATTAATGACTTACAATCATGTAAGTTTAGTGGTAGAAAAAGTGTCCAAGAAAAGCTTTATTTTTCATTTTGTGATGGTAAAAAACGAAAACTTTTACTTGTAACATACTATAAAACTGATCGCATAAAAACTATGTCAACAGCAACAATTAAACTTCATTGCCTTAGGCTACAGATTAAAGAAGCTGGTTTTTTCAGTAGCATCTCCCCTTAAAATGCACTATTTGCACAAGCTTACTCCTTTGTATGCGGTATTAACTAAAAGCGATATTGCCACGTTCTCAGCGCAAACCGCGCCTGCAGTTTTCTAGAGGGTTCCGGACTGTAGTAGATCATTTCGAATAAGATCACGCCCACTGTGCGAATGGTACAGATTGTTCTGGAACGCACGCCGCCGCCAGCGATAGCGCTAGAACATTCGACGGCGGGAGTATAAATGCCGACGCGCTTCGCCGCTTGTCAGTTGTTGATCGAAGGCCGACGCTCCGTTCGCCGCTATCAGTCTGGAGACTGCTATCTGTGCAAGACTGCTGCTGTAATTGGACTTTCTGTTTACCGGGCACAGGTTCGCCCAAATAAACAGTTAAATTCCAACAAGAAGTCTCCTGTCTTCGGCCACGTCACGACCCCCGTGACATCTGGTGGAGGTGCTGCTTCGTTCATGTACCGCACGCCCCCGTCAAGCCGTGAACCCAGCCCACGTCGCGGAGAAGACACCGACGCCAACCAGGAGCAGCGAACAAGCCGCCGACAGCAAGGGCTACCACCGGAGTACGGGCTTCTACACGACAAGCCGCGGAAGACCAAGGCCATGACCGCGACTGCAGAGACAATGACAACCGCAGCGTCCCAGCCCACGATGGTCATGCATCAACCCAGGGAACCACCAATTTTCCATGGGTCATCGTTCGAAGACCCGGAGTCCTGGCTAGAGACATACGACCGTGTGGCCGCCCTCAACCACTGGGACCATGACGAAAAGCTGCGTCGTGTGTTCTTCTATTTAGAAGACACCGCAAGGACCTGGCTCGAAAATCGGGAGTCCACGCTCCGAACGTGGGATGTTTTCTGCGGCGCATTCCTGCAAACGTTCGCGAGCGTCGCTCGAAAAGAGAGGGCCGCTGCTTTATTAGAGACCCGGGTTCAGCTACCAAATGAAAATGTCGCCATTTTCACAGAAGAAATGACCCGACTATTCCGTCACGCTGACCCAGACATGCCTGAGGAGAAAAAAGTTCGTTTCCTCATGCGATGGGTCAAACAGGAGCTCTTCGCGGGGCTGATGAGAAACCCACCGAAAACCGTCCAAGAATTTGTAGCCGAAGCGACCACTATTGAAAAGACCCTGGACATGCGCACCAGACAGTATAATCGTCACCTGACTACAGACTGCGCTGCTGCTCAAGCCAGTAACTCCGGAGACCTGCGTGAAACGATCCGAGCGATCGTGCGGGAAGAGCTGCGCAAGCTGTTGCCTTCGGCGCAGCCTCAAGTGGATTCGATCGCCGACATTGTGCGAGAAGAAGTTCAGCAATCGCTTCAAATTTTCCACGCACCGCTGCCCGAGCCGGAAGCTATGAGCTACGCCGCTGCACTGCGCCACAACGCTACTCCCCGTCCACGCCAAAACGCCGCCCCATCGCACTTCCGTCGACAGACGCCACCGCCGCCACCACCCCCACCGACGTCATACCGTTCACCAGTGGCCCAGCGCAGTGCACCGAGAAAGACTGACGTCTGGCGCACCCCTGACCATCGCCCGCTCTGCTACCACTGCGGCGAGGCCGGACACACATACCGCCGCTGCCAGTACCGACAGATGGGATTGCGTGGCTTCGCCATCAATGCACCGCGCCCACAGCCAGGAGAACGACCACGTGACATCGCCGACTACCTGACAGGAGCTCGATGGACACTACGAAGCCCTTCGCGTTCGCCGTCGCCCAGCCGCCTCACGTCACCGCACCACCGACAGTACTCTGGCCCAACGCGGGGCCGGTCTCCTAGCCCGTATCCGGGAAACTAAGGGCAGCAACCGGTGGAGGTGCGGTTGCTGTGCGACGAACTACCGAAGATCCTCCGACGACGACGCCGCCGCGACGGAGCTTTCCGAACACAACGCCAACCAGGCAAAGCCCTGACGACGAAAGCTCACTTACCGAAGGTGGCCTGACGACGCAACATGGAAGCAGCGGAACAAGTCGACGCAGCCGTGACCCGACGCCACGCCCTAACTGTAATGCGAGACGGCGAATTAGCGACCTCGACGTTCTTATCGACGGCCACAGTGTGACCGCTCTCATCGATACTGGAGCCGACTATTCTGTCATCAGTGGGTCGTTCGCCGCGAAGTTAAAGAAAGTTAGGACAGCTTGGAAAGGCCCTGAAATCCGCACAGCCGGAGGTCATCTCGTAACGCCTGCAGGAATCTGCACAGCGAGAGTCACCATTAACGGCCGTATTTATCCTACAGACTTCGTAGTCCTACAGCGTTGCTCGAGAGATGTCATCCTTGGCATGGACTTCTTATGCCTCCATGGTGCTGTCATCAACCTAAAAACAAAGTCGATAACGTTATCCACAGAAGAAGCACTACCGCCGCGCACGCCGTCTAGACACCATGCCTTGAATGTGCTGGAAGAACAAGTCACCATTCCGCCTCGCTCAAGCGTCATTATTTCAGTCGGCGCTCCTGAATCACCTGACTTCGAAGGCGTCGTTGAAGGCAGTCGGCATCTGTTGGTCACCCGAAATATTTGCGTCGCAAGAGGAATTGCAGAGTTGCGGGGAGGCAAAGCAACGGTTATGCTCACAAATTTCAGCAATGAGTACAAACATGTTAACAAAGGAACAACGGTCGCATACATCGAAGAAATTGTCGAAGCCACCAGTGCTTTCGCCCTCGCCGATTCTGCGGAACCTGCTCACAGGAACCAAGCCCCTCCCATAGCTTTCGACGTCAATCCCAGACTTCCGAACGATAAGCAAGAACAGCTCAAGGCCCTGCTCCTGCAATACGAAGATTGCTTTTCGTCGTCATCGAAAATTCGGCAGACCCCAATCACGAAACATCGCATCATAACCGAAGAAAATGCCAGACCACTCCGTCAGAGTCCGTACAGGGTTTCGACGCGAGAACGTGAGGCCATCAAGAGACAAGTTGATGAAATGCTGCGGGATGATATTATCCAGCCGTCCAACAGCCCATGGGCATCCCCCGTGGTGTTAGTGAAGAAAAAGGATGGGACCCTACGTTTTTGCGTCGATTATCGCCGCCTGAACAAAATCACAAGAAAGGACGTGTATCCTCTCCCACGAATAGACGACGCACTTGATCGGCTCCATAACGCCAAGTACTTTTCGTCAATGGACCTCAAGACTGGCTATTGGCAAATCGAAGTCGACGAAAGAGACCGAGAGAAGACGGCGTTTATAACACCGGACGGCCTCTTCGAGTTTAAGGTGATGCCCTTCGGCCTTTGCTCAGCGCCTGCAACTTTTCAACGCGTTATGGATACAGTACTGGCAGGATTGAAGTGGCAGACTTGCCTTGTGTACTTGGACGACGTCGTCGTGTTTTCTTCGAGTTTCGACGAGCATCTTCAGCGCCTTGAAGCTGTACTTCAAGCCATCAAGACTTCCGGACTCACACTGAAGCCAGAAAAGTGCAGATTTGCGTATGAAGAGCTCTTGTTTCTGGGGCACGTTATCAGCAAGTCTGGAGTTCGTCCTGATCCACAGAAAACAGCCGCCATCGCCGAATTCCCGCCGCCCACTGACAAGAAAGCTGTGCGCCGATTTCTGGGCCTGTGCGCCTATTATAGGCGGTTCGTGAAAAACTTCGCCCGCATCGCCGATCCTCTCACTAACCTTACTAAGGCCGACGTGGAGTTCAAGTGGGAAACGGCGCTTTCCAGGAGCTTAAACATCGCCTCCAGACACCTCCGTTACTTGCCCATTTCGACGAATTCGCCGAGACAGAAATACATACTGACGCAAGCAGCGTAGGTCTTGGCGCCGTTCTTGTGCAGAGGGCTGACGGACTTGAAAGGGTTATTAGTTACGCCAGCCGATCGCTATCCAAAGCAGAAGCAAATTATTCCACAACAGAAAAGGAGTGCCTCGCCATCATCTGGGCTACGTCGAAATTTCGCCCATACCTCTACGGCAGGCCCTTCAAAGTTGTGAGCGACCACCACGCCTTGTGTTGGCTAGCCACTTTGAAGGACCCTTCAGGTCGCCTCACACGATGGAGCCTGAGACTTCAAGAATATGACATTACTGTCATTTACAAGTCCGGCAAAAAACACTCCGACGCCGACTGTCTCTCTCGTGCGCCTGTCGAACCGCTACCCGACGACCCGGATGACGACTACTTCTTGGGAACGATAACTACCGACGACTTCGCTGAACGACAGCGGGCCGACCCGGAACTTAAGGCCCTAATAGAATACCTCGAAGGCAGGACCGCTGAAGTCCCGAATGTATTTAAGCGTGCACTTACGTCGTTCTTTCTACGAAACGGTCTTCTACAAAAGAAAAACTTTTCACCGCTTCGGGCTAAGTATCTCCTTGTGGTGCCTTCAGCTCTGCGACCAGAACTCCTGCAGGCCCTGCACGACGATCCGACGGCAGGGCACCTCGGTGTTTCTCGCACGCTCGCGAGGATACAAGAAAGGTACTACTGGCCGCGTCTGACCACCGACGTCACTCGTTATGTGAGGACATGCCGGGACTGTCAGCGACGCAAGACCCCGCCGACAAGGCCAGCGGGACTTCTGCAGCCAATTGATCCACCTTGCCGACCTTTTCAGCAGATTGGTATGGACCTATTGGGGCCGTTCCCGACGTCGGCTTTTGGAAACAAGTGGATCGTGGTAGCCACCGACTACCTCACCCGCTACGCCGAGACAAAAGCCCTGCCAAAAGGCAGTGCATCCGAGGTAGCTAAGTTCTTCATCGAAAATATCGTCCTACGTCACGGCGCCCCGGAGGTCCTTATCACCGACAGAGGAACGGCATTCACTGCCGACTTAACTAGAGCGATCTTGGCATACACCCAAACAAACCACCGCCGGACGACAGCGTACCAGCTACAGACCAACAGCCTCACCGAGCGAGTTAACAAGACGATCGCAGACATGCTGTCAATGTACGTCGATGTCGAACACAAGACGTGGGATGCCATTCTTCCGTATGTGACCTTCGCATACAACACGGCGGTGCAGGAGACGACGCGAATATCTCCATACAAATTGGTCTACGGAAGGAGCCCGGCAACGACGCTCGATGCCATGTTACCCAACGTCACCGACGAAGAAAACCTCGATGTGAGCGAGTACCTTCATCGCGCCGAAGAAGCCCGACAACTTGCGCGTCTCCGTATCAAGAATCAACAGACGACTGACAGCCACCGTTACAACCTTCGACGACGCTTCGTGGAATACCAGCCCGGTGAACGTGTTTGGGTGTGGACGCCGATACGCCGACGTGGACTAAGTGAAAAGCTTCTGCGACGGTACTTCGGACCGTACAGGGTGGTTCGACGTCTCGGCCCACTTGATTACGAGGTTGTCCCCGACGGCATTACGAACTCTCAACGACGCCGATCGCGACCTGAAGTCGTCCATGTCGCGCGCCTCAAGCCGTTTCATGCGCGTTAACAAACTGAACCAGTGTTTTTTTGTATTATTGTTGTATCGTAATTTATTCATTGTACTTTCTTGCATTATTATTGTACCTTCATCTTTAGTTAAAGCATCGAGACGATGCCTTTTTCAGAGGGGGGCAATGCGACGTTCCATGTCCCAAGTTTTTGTTATCGTCCCAAAACACCACACGATTCTCAGCGCAAACCGCGCCTGCAGTTTTCTAGAGGGTTCCGGACTGTAGTAGATCATTTCGATAAGATCACGCCCACTGTGCGAATGGTACAGATTGTTCTGGAACGCACGCCGCCGCCAGCGATAGCGCTAGAACATTCGACGGCGGGAGTATAAATGCCGACGCGCTTCGCCGCTTGTCAGTTGTTGATCGAAGGCCGACGCTCCGTTCGCCGCTATCAGTCTGAGACTGCTATCTGTGCAAGACTGCTGCTGTAATTGGACTTTCTGTTTACCGGGCACAGGTTCGCCCAAATAAACAGTTAAATTCCAACAAGAAGTCTCCTGTCTTCGGCCACGTCACGACCCCGTGACAATATTATCAGTAACTGATGATTCCTTTGCGTGTTGATGAGTACACTCATGTGTCAGAATGGACACTTTGCAAAAAGACTGCTAGGCGGCTTTCCTGTAAAGTTGTTTTCCAACCAAAACATATTGTTCACGGACTACTTTTCTTGCTCATTGTGCTTTTGTCTTTCCCCCTTTCCTCACTAACGACAAATGCCTGAGGCTACGTGCACAGCGGTACAACCCCATAGTAGTTGCTGGGGGGGGGGGGGGGGACGTTTTGTTGTACTTTAGTGCCTTCACTGGAATCGGGAGAGGTATAAACACAATTGGCGAGACAGGCAGTCTGTGAAAGAGAGTTTTTGGGTGGAAAACAGTTTTACAGGAAAGCCGCCTTGCAGATTTTTGCAAAGTGTTCATTGTAACGAAAAGAGCGAGTCTGTTCACTGATCACTGTTAATGTGCAGGTGATCTCTTTCCTTCACACTGTGATGACGCACAAAGTGTCGGGGCCCTTGCTTCGCACGGCCTTGGTCGTGTGCCCATACAACACTGTGCTGAACTGGGCAAACGAATTTGAGCTGTGGTTGGACGGAAACGATCTTGACATGAAGGTGAGTGGTGTCAAAGTCTCTTTTTATTGTATTTTGGTGGAGGCTATGTGTGATAAACACTGCTTTTTTTGTAGCATGTGGCACCTACTTATATTAAGAGTTGCCCTGTGTTGCTTGCAGCAGGCGCAGTCTTGCGGGGTCTGTTACGTGAACATAATTGAAATCCGAGGTCTGATTTTCGCAGTGCAGTCGAATTCATAATTGTTCAGCGAACTGGGACCACGGGAGGAACACACACATCAAGCAAAGAGAAGGCACACAGCACAAGCGCTCACTAACTGCTAGTTTATTCTCACGTTATTAGGACATATAAGCACACTAGGGTGTGCATGTCAACGCGAATAAAACGATAGTGTGAGCAGCATGCGTGGCGTTCATTCGAAGCACTTGTCTAAGAATTATCTATATACAGTCGAATCTCATTAGTTCGAACAATCTTAATTTAAACTTCCGGTTAATTTAAACTCACGATGAAGTCTCGTCAAAGCTATGCGTATTCCAATAGGCGAAAACACCCGGTAATTCGAACGCGCAAACACTTGCGACGGTTAATTCAAACATACCGCGCTCCGACAATGCTCTCAGCACCTCGCCCAATCCCGCGGCGGCACCTGCGATATCTCAGCGCTGCCCGTGAAGGAAATGAAAAGAAAAGAAAGAAAAAAAAAAGCTGCGGTGGAATGTTTGCTCTCTCTCAAATGCTGATCTGCGACGCGCCCGTGTCACGCTTCTTCCTTTTCTGTCCCTGCCACGTAAAGACCCTTCTTCTTCCAATGCCACCCCTGAACAGAGAGAGGAAAACAAAAAAACAAAGAAGCCAGTCTGTGCTGTTACCGAAAGGCCTATTGTGGCATGTTGTGGCAGCAGCGAGTTGAGCGTTGTGGTGAACTTTTATGAGACAAAAAGTTGTCGCTTCTTGCATTTACGGCTTCTTGTAGGCATGGTGTGGTTGTATGTCGGCGATCGTTGGTGCAGAGAATGGCGTCAGAAAAGCTGACTGTGTGAAAGCTGACCGCAAGTCTTCATGGTGTCTCCCATTGCTTTTTTTTTTTCTCTGTTACTGCCATATTGGCAGTGAAGAAATGCCTGGAAAGGGAGCGACCTTGCTCGCAGCCTTTCGCAAACTGCTTGGGCTAAACTGCAGTTAGGCAGGCCCGTACTTATCTCTCACATGTTTTAGAATGCCGCTAACTTTTTTTTTTACTTCATATGTACCATATTTTTACCGTGATTGTGCTGGAATTGTTTGCTGTATAAGTAGGAGGCCATTAATATTGTTTGGTGTATGTGAAGTTTTGTGGATGCAGTTTCAAGGGTTAGTATTGGAAAATTGTAAGTGCACTGAAATATAGTAGTTATAACTAATAGATCATTAAAGTGGGTTAAACTGTATAATAGCAAGTTGACATGCACAGACAAGTGTTTTTGGACATTTATTATATAACCTAGGATAGTGATTATGTGTTAGGGATTATGAACACATATCATGGAACATGAAAACACATAATCAAGGGATTATGTGTTTTCATGTGCTGATATCAAATATGGACTGTCTTTTGGTGCACAATGCCATTAATTCTGAAATGATTTTTGACCACTTTATTTGATAATCTTTGTTAGGCAGGCTACACAGATATTGCTGAATTAAATGTCATTGGATTTTGTTTGTCATTGAATGCAACGGGGGTAATTTTCTGGCTCTAGCATTCTTAGAACAAAAGTTATGAAGTTTCAAAGTTCTCATATCAATGACACAAAAAAGGTAGCTACATTATTTCATTTTTTCTCAATAAGGAAGTTCTCGAAATAACATTTGGTTCCCTATTGCAGTTCCAAAACACTTGTCCTTTCAGCAGGTCAGAAATGATATAATTTATCGTGATAGTGATGAGAAAGGTTTCTTAGAAACCTTTTAGTTGTACATTGGAATCTAGATTTTTTGGCCGAATGTGTTTTTTTCATTTATGCTCCCAGATGTTACTCCAGGCCAATCTCTCTGGTTGATACGATTTTTGCATAATGCATTTCATCTTGCAAATCTCGTGAAACATTTATCAATGAGATTTCACTGTGTATAACATTTCTGTGTAATTTACATCGTAGTAGATGTTCCAGTGGGAGGCCATTCCAACAAGTGACTTCATGAGAGCGGCTTGTTGGGCTTAAATTTCCGGCACCAACTCATCATAGCTCATAAGTTGTGACAGTGGGTGCTTGGCCACGTAATATGCTTTATTGGTAAGAATAAATTGTTTCCCTGAAAAAAAAAACAAAAAAAACAGAGACTACACACTGCAAGGTACAGGAAATTTTATATTGCCAAAGTGGCCTAAATACCAGAAGATCAGACTTGCGCAAATATTCGATCACTTCGAATGTTGAAACGGATATTGACGTATTCAAATTCACTTCAGTTAGAATTTAAATTATAGGAAATTTCGAAATACTCCAAATCAACGAATAAGCGTATATTAATCTGCATGTTACACCCCTGTATAGGGGGTTTCACGGCATTGGCAGGATGCCAAATCGTGTCATCTTTCCAGAAAAATCTGCACTGCCGCGAAGCCCTATTCAAGGTCAAGTGAACATGTTACCCTCATATTTGGTTCTTCTTATCTTAAGTTGAAAAGCTTGTTATGCTGGCTTATATGCTTCAAAAAGTATAAAACATAACATTACAGGCCATCACTTGCATTTTACTGAAAGTCAAATCCTGCTACTGTTCAAAGTTGCTTCCGCTTCTTTTTAAGGGGGGACGCGGCACTTCGGGACCGAAAATCAGCCAAAAAATCGAGTTTTCGCGGACCTTCTTTTCGCGTTCCCGACATCATTGCGCACCTATTTACAAAATTTCATAGCCGAATACCATCAACTTTTATCGTTATTCAACTTTAAAAAACCGAACACGGGCGTCCTGCCCTTTAAATTGAGGGCGAATAGCGCAGGTTTCGGCTCTACGATACGCGGGAATTTCGCGCTCGATCGGCGCCATTTTGGTCTTGTTTGAAAGAACGCGTTTTCAGCTGTTTTTTTTATTCAGTAAGCAACATTGAGCGTTTCCCCGGCTCGAAAAACGGGGCCTCAAAGACGAAGAGCCGCGCTCACTGCCATTGGCTAAACGGCGCACGTGACTGAAATGGCGCTTTCCGGTTGGCTGGAAGCTCGCGGCTTGCGCCTGCATACGCGACCCGACGCCATTTTGAAAGGGTTACCGCTGTGACGCCTCGAAATCGGCAGAGCACTCTGAAGCTTCTGATCGTATCGCCATGCCTGGAAACGCAAAAAAGTATCGGACCGTGCACGCATTTGGTCGCAGGAAACGCAAAGGTCGTGGGAGAAAGTCTACGAAGTCATCAGAGCCCTTGGTTGACTCCGACGAACGATGTGTCGACGCTCCGCGGCCGTTCAGCGATGGTGCGACCGAGCGCGTTGCCTCCGACGACTATGACGGTGAAGCGAACTCCGGACGACTACGAATCGACGCCAAGGTGGTGACAAACGCCGAAGTTGAAGAAAATCATGCCCGGGAGAAAGCGGCGCTCGACCGGCTTTCATCGGCGCCAGCAACTGCACGGAAAATTGACTTTTTCACCGCGAGTTGTAGCGAGGCAACTGCACAGGACTCGGACCACGCTGCTCCTTATCTGCTTATGCATCTAGATATCCTAAACGCGATAATGGGTGCCTTGTGTTGCAAAGCCTGCCACGGACCGGCTACGATCGTCAGAGGAGATCGGGACTACGGACTTGCCGTGAAAGTGCTAGTGCAGTGTGAAAGGTGCGGCGAGATCGCGAATGAATGGACTTCGCCCCGCGCGAACGGCACGAAAACGTGCAATCCGTTTGAAGTAAATCTTCTCGCTTCGAGGGCGATGGTGGCTACCGGCAATGGCCAAACGAAAATGAACGATATTTTCGCAACAATGGGCATCTCACACCGCGGTATGCACCACAAGACGTTTCAGCGGCATTTGAAGAACACGCTGGCACCCGCTGCAACGCGAGCGGCTGAGTCCGCTATGAGCGAATGTGCGGAAAAGGTTAGAACAATCTATGATGACTTGTGCTTCGGCCACCGGGGCAATATTGCCGTTAGCTACGACGGCACGTGGAAGACGCGAGGCCATTCTTCCCACATGGGCGTGGGCACAGTTATCGAATTATTTAGTGGCTACGTGTTGGACTACGTCGTTCTTTCCAACTTTTGCCTAGGCTGCGAGGTGGGCCCAAAGCCTAGTAGTGAGGGCTATCAAGAATGGAAGGCTAACCACAAATGCCAAAAAAATACGAACAGCAAAGCGGGGCAAATGGAAGTGGAGGCGGCTCTAATTCTATTTCAGAGGTCGCTTGAACGCCATGGCCTGCGCTACACAACTATGCTGTCTGATGGAGACTCTAGGACATTTTGCGCCATACAAGACGCCAAGGTGTATGGTTACATTGACGTGCAGAAGGAAGACTGTATTAATCATGTACAGAAACGGATGGGCACCGCATTGAGAAACCTGGTGCAGAAACAAAAGTGCGATGGGAAAAGAGGCCTTGGTGGGAAAGGCAGGCTCACAGGTGAGCTGATCACCAGACTGAGCACATATTATGGCCGGGCTCTGAAATCGCATGAAGATGACGTGGGCGAGATGCAAAAGGCTATGATGGCCACATACCGCCACGTCACCTCCACTGATGAATGCTCGGACCACAGTATGTGCCCAGCTGGTGAAACTTCATGGTGTCGGCACAATGCCGCAAAAGCAAAGGGTGAGCCCGACCCCAGGCATGCCTACAATCTACCGAAAGACGTGGCAGAGGCATTACTACCGGTTTATACCCGGCTTTCGGAAAGAGCCCTGCTTCAGAGGTGCGAACGCGGCAAAACGCAGAACTTCAACGAGAGCCTACATTCGGTAATCTGGAGTTTGGCCCCCAAGGAGCACCATGCGTCCCTGTTCGCTGTTGAAGCAGCTGTTGCAGAAGCAGTGCTGCGCTTCAACACGGGCAATTTGAATTCTGCAACGGCAATCTTAGGTGAAATGGACATGAATGCGACAAGTACTGGTGCCAGGAGAGCGAGAGAAAAAGACCACCGTCGCAGCATTGTCTCCAACAAGAAAAGAACAGCCTCATTGGAACTCCGGAAGCTAGTGAAGAGGAGGCATGAGCACAGAATGCATTCAGACTATGCTTCTGGTGCGTTTTGAGGTTGTCTTGTTGCATCTTCTGCAATAAAAATGTGTGCCCACGTTTTTTCTCGATTTCTCAAAACGACAATTTTCATGTGCTTCCGATTATGCCGGAGCAATATCTCTTGTTCTATCTGGGTTATCATTACGATTTCTTTTTTGTTTCGAAGATAAATGCAGGGGATGTGTCGTAAAGTAAGTTTTATTGTAATAATTTTTGGAGAAAATTCTCTAAATGGATCTTTTGTTTCAAGTGTAGATGGGGAAATTTTTCATGTCATATTCAACATCCCACAACTTTGCTTCGAAATAGCCCAGAACAATGATTTATACTTTATTGCACACTGTGAACATACCGAATTGGTTCTATAGGTTGCACATCAATATCCAAGTTACAGTTAATTAGCTAATTAGGCCTTAATTGAAAATGTCGCAGTTCATTATATCTTTAAAACTAATTGTCACAGCAAAAAAAGAATTAGATTTTTGAAATCAGCAGTAAAATCTACATAGGCTCTCCAAATTTGACTGAGGTACTGACAAAAATAAAAAAAGTTTTTGGAAGGTGTAGCATCCCCCCTTAAATATTGAGAATGACATTTGCACATGCCTTGTTTCAGTTAAAAAAAAATTATGCAGGTTGGTCTTAGCAAATATGCAAGCTTTTCTTCATAACATGTGATATATACTATTCGAACCAAATCACTGTTTGCTTTGAACCTGATATTTACTATTCGCACAAGCCTACAAAAAAAGGCTTCAAAATTTATGAAGTCACGCTGATTTGCAAGTGCCTGGGTGTCATCGTGAAAATCAAAAATGAAACTTTGAGCTTCGTTTAGGGAATCTTGTTTGCAAAGTTAATGAGAGTAGGTTTTCAAAGAACAATTCGGCAGTGTAAACTGACAGCTTTTCTTTTCGGTGTCCCTTTACACAAATATCTTTTGCCAATAGTTCTACAGTGTAGTAGTAGTAGTAGTAGTAGTAGTAGTAGTAGTAGTAGTTTCAATAGTTGTGGGATGAGCAAGGACATCTATTCTTTTTTTTCTTTGTTTATGTAGCCTTCGTAGACAGAAACTGTGAATAAATCCTTGGAAACTCTTTTCCTGGAAAATGCGTGTCTTTGCATCTGCAGATATACGAGACGTCTTCCATCAGAGTTAATAGCGTCAGGTTGGAGGTTCTTGATAGATGGCAGAAGAAAGGTGGTGTGGCCATCATCGGCTACGACATGTTTCGTCGATTTGTAAACATGAGGGGCAAAGGCAAGAAACTTCAGGAGGGCTTCAGAAGGGTGCTGCTTGATCCAGGTGAGTGCTCGTAGTGGTTGCCTTTGTGTTCTTTCTTCATAAATGATGTATACTGTTAGGCCGGACGACAGTGGAATGCAGTAACATTGACGCAAATGCATCGTTGCAGTATGCTGGGCAGAGCAGTTGGTAATATTAAAACACGTGTAAGCCCCTCTGCGCTTCTTTTGTGCTTACAGGAGTGCCTTTCTTCCTATCCAGCCTTTCCAAGCTGCCTAAAAGAGCAGCTTTTTTTTTTTTTAGCTTCCGATTATTTGTATTGGTCATGAAATCAACATCTGTTTATCTTATTTTTTTGAAGTTGATGCGTCATTCTTGGACATTGTGTGGCATCGGCCTCCACATTTCAGCTGGGTTGATGTTCATTGATTGAGAAATCTCGGCACTTATGTCCTTCACAACGTACTGAGGCTTATTATTAACACCAGTTGGAAAGATCATTACAAGGTGACAGTTAAAAATAAAGCAGGTTTTTTTGGCCATTAGCCCTGAAATGGCTCGAAGAAGCCGCCATCATCATCATTATATCTGGAGAGGTCTTCTGCGTGCTGGATTTTCAAGAGCAGCTTGCTGTGCCTGATTATCATAATGATGAATTCTAGCTCAACCCTTTGAAATGGGCTGGTGGCAGCTTTCGACCAGCCACTCATTATGGAACTCGCGCAGTGTGACACCCAGTGTGATTATGCACATCTATCACACAATGTTTCATCGGTTAACCTGCCGATCCTTCCCTGACGTGAGTGTGCAGGGTCTCTTTCCAAAGCATTTTCAAGCACAGGCATGGCTTTGCGGCAAAATACTAGACTGAGGATACTTGGGTTGAATTCCAAATCGAACGCTGATCTTTATGTATGTGATTTTTATTAAGGTCACGTGAGTTTTTGTATGGAACACTGTGTTTTTCACGGCAGCATCTGATTAGGCACTCAAGGCTTTCGTCTTATTAATAAATGAAATGTAACATATGACTTGAAACAGTGGCAGTCATAATGGTATGTACCATATTCCGTTTTTTATGGAGTGTTAATAAAACAGTCATGGGCATCCGTTGATGTGCAAGTTTGAGTCAGCAGTGGAGGAACACTAGCTTATGTGGTTAAATGAGAGCAGGGCTGCAAGACTATGGGCAGTCGACTTGTGTCAACTCAACTTTAAAAAGGCTAGCAAAGTTGGCCAAACTAGCGAGCGCGTCAAGTTAAGCTAGAGGCGGAAAGCACGGCACCCCATAATACCTACTTTGTTTGCATATTTGCCACTGTTGTAGCATGTAGTCGAATCCAGAGTGTACAAACATCTTACAGGTCCAAGGTGGGAAATTAATAACGTGAAAAGTGACATTGCAGCCCTCCAGCTAGATAGAAATTGAATGTATGCCTGAGTTTTTTCTTTTTTCAAGAAAAGACACAGTATGTCTGTCAAGGAGCATGCAGAAGGCTGGTTCTGTTTTTAATAACGATAGCCCTGTCACCTACGTTTGCATGAGGCTTTTGATCTTTTACTGCTCTCCAGTGTGCTATGGTTTTCCTTCGTGAGAAACTTTTGGCAACGCATATAAACATCGTTTTTTTTTCTTTCTCGCATTGCAATGTAGGCACTACAGAACAAAGTGTCTTCATACAAAGAAAGTGTTATATAAACAAAAGTTTGTTTTCTCAATGTCATTTGTGCTGTAGAACAGTTTTCAAGCCAAGTTTACTTCAGTACATAATTGTCTTGCAGCAAGGCTGTGTGGGAATAGGCCACGAGCTGTCAAGGTACAGTCCTGGTCAAAAGTTTCCAGGCCACGCTTCAATAGTTATCTGGGAACTTCTGATCCCCCACGTGCATATAGCATGCGCAGTGTATTTACGAGTACCAGCACAGTCCCTTATGTCTAAAACCTTTACTGGAAATCATTCATTGTTGGCTGTGCCATTTATGCAGCCCTGAGAAACAATCACTAAAAAGACAACTGTTTTTTCCCCCCATCCTCGTTTAAAAACAAAACATTTGCAGGACCAAGCTTGGTGATCTGCGATGAAGGACATGTATTGAAGAATGATAGCACTGGCCTGTCTAAGGCGATGGGTGAAATGAAGACTGGTCGGAGGATTGTGCTCACTGGAACCCCCTTGCAGAACAACCTACAAGAGTGTAAGTTGGATGTCACTAAAGGACAGGGTTTCACTTGCAAAGGCTCTGTGGAGATCCTTTATGATGGAGATCTTCTATGGTGAAAGTGTCCTCACTTTAGCAGCTTAGCAGCAGGTTAAAATTGGATACATGTTGAGTGATCTGCAAAGTAACTGCATGACAGAAGACTCTAAGGATAGTTTGTTCAAGTACCATTTATAAAGTTATTAAAGAAGTTATTTGCCATAAAGAATTTTAATAATGATAAGCCAGAAGCATCATAGAGGCTGTATGCTGCACTGGCTGTGCTTTTTGGTGCTAGTATGCATTAGGTATCCGTTATGGACAAGATTTAGTTATCTCGAAATCCAATTATAAATGGCTTTTAATAGTGAATTGTCATTAGCTGGGGTAATAAAACCTTGGAGGCATTGTGATGTCTAGTTCTTTGAGTGTTTAAACGCTCTCTCCCCCCCCCCCCCCCCTTTTCTTTAATCGCAGATCACTGCATGGTGAGCTTTGTCAAGCCTGGTCTGTTGGGAACAAAGAGAGAGTTCCTGAACCGATTTGTGAACCCCATTGCCAACGGAGCATGTGCAGACTCAACAGTTCATGACGTAAAGCTGATGAAAAAAAGGGTGCACATCCTCCATCGCCTTTTGGACGGATGTGTGCAGGTGTGTGTCACTTAGACGATAGACTCGTGTTTGGTTTTGTTACCTGTCTCTTTTTTTTTTAACACTGTAAAGTACCATGATTTTCTATCTTGTTTGTCACTGACTGAAGAAACTTTAGTGCACTTCTGCATTTTAAATGTGATGCTTATATGCAGTTAAACCTCCTCATTTGACCTTTTATGGGAAGTAACGTCGCTGAAGGATTCAGTTTTACCCAGAAAGTGCTGTAAGAATGTTGGAAAAGTACAGTGCTATGAAAAAAAGAATAATTTACTTGATGGAAAAAAAAAACTAATTTTGTTGAACCTTAGATTAGGTGACCACAATTCAATGCTGTGCTGGCAAGATCCTCCTCATAGCACGCTATGCCATGTATGAAGCCTAAAAAATAATACCAAAAAAAAAACACAGGATACAGTGAAATCTCGGTATAACGAACTTCAGTGGACCACGGCAATTATTTTGTTATTTTTAAAGGTCATTGTATTGAAAGCCCAAAAATGAACCACAAATACTTATTTTCCAACGACCAAAACGACTTACCTTTACAACGGTGGGTCCTTGAACTCGTTTTTTACTAGAAAAAAAAATGCACAAGTGAACACATAAAAAAGCACAATTACATTAAAGAAGTCTAATTTTGTCTTTCTTTGACGCATGCAGCATAAACTTTGCAGTGTGAAGGCCTTCACCTAACCCACATTCCTGTGGTGCGATTCGGTTCTTTGGTCACAAGAGCCTGCTTTTCACCTTCCTGCTGCCGAAGAATATCCACTTTCTCACTTAGCAAAAACTGCTTCCGCTTCTTTGTCGCAAGCAGAGGCGAACTCATGTGTAGTAGCGCAGCAGCACGAGCGCCGACTATCTTTGTGGATGCGATAAGTATTCATCAAAAAGAGATGAACCCAACTGACAAACCAGGCTTCCTAGAGCACATGCAGAAATGACAAAAAAAATCCCGAAGCGTCGTGGCTGTAATTGCCTCTTCCTAAAAAAAGATAAAAAAGAAAATTCCTCGCGTTTCGTTTTCTGCTCTCTCGCTGTCTCAGGTTTTCCGTGCCCATGCTTCCTGCTCCGCAACTCCCATTGCCTCGCTGACCTTGCGCTCCCGTGTTGTTCTCGCCCATCACCTTGGCGCTTGTAAACCTGCAGTGTCGGCGTTTCAACAAAGAAAGAAAATAAAATCGGCCTTTCGTGTTTTTTTCCCCCTCCGCACCATTTTCCTGTCCGTTCGCTTTGTCGTGTGTTTGCCTACCGCTCCCGTGGTCGCGACAGATTTTAAAACATGAGTTGTAGTACTTAGGCGTTAATATAATGCAGAACTAAATTAATGTTCGTTATTCTGAAAATTTCGGTATTCTGAAATTCGGTATTTCACCGACATTCTGCGTTCTTGTTTCGCGCAACACACACTGACACAAAGTATTGAATTAATTTTACATTGAAACTATTGGCAGTCGGCACGGGATTTTTTAAAAGTTCGTTAATGTGGGGTTCATTCTACCGAGGCTTCACTGTATATGTCGACCCCCCAAGCTTTCAAACTCCGAAAAAGAAATTTTTAAAAATTGCAAAGTATCGCGGTGCACCCTTACCTTGGTAAACACGGGACACAACCAGCTGCACTGGAGTGAAATTTCTTTTTATTTGGACACTAATCTTATGTAGTTAAACACCAGAAGGCCGCAAAGTGTTTCTCACTCAGACTCGTCTGAACTTGAGTCCGACGACATCTGTTTTTCACTAGTAACATCCCAGAGTGCACCTTCCTCCATTTCATTCAATGCGTTATTGATGCAGCATTTGTGGAAAGGTGGATGCACGCCGTTTCAGTGCAAAGCCCTTCCGCTTCATAAATCGGTGCACCCATAATAGTGATTTCTTGAATTGCACTCTTGTGAGCCCAGAGTTGCACGCTATATCTAGAGCTTTCACGCGTATGCACTCTACTGTTACCGGTAGCGACCTTGCACGCAGCTCCCGGACAAATTCGCGAGTAGTGTTTCCAGTTCGGAGTGCACTGCAGCACGTCCACAAAATGATTTTTTTTCTCTTGCTGCAAAATGTAATGTGCTGCTTTTAACTCCTCCAGTATCGGACACTTTTCTTCGATGCACCTCATAGCCGTTGTCTCGCCAAGTTGCTGTACGCTTCGGCATGCTTGATAAAGTTTTTTTTTTTTTGAAGCCTATAGTAAACTGTCTTCGACTACCACTCATTTTTGAAGGAAATTGAAAAAAGAAAACAGCAGACTGACAGCTGATAACTGACGCAAAATGGCGTTGCTAGTACACTGCACTGTAGGCCTTGCCTAGCCTTGCCCAACGGTGCCACTGCTGATGCTCACGATGGCAATGAAGGCTTTCGACTTCACTGCCCATTGTTGCAAGAATTCCACACTTTTTTCCACCAATGACTGGTATATAAGACGACGCTCAAACTTTTTATTGCGTTTTATTGGGGAAAAAATCGACCTATATCCCGCTTTTATAGTAAATAAATACAGGCAATGCAGTTGCAGTGCTCAGTGGTCCTAAATGTTTAGCTTAGCTGTCATGCCATGTGGGCCTCTGCGGCTGGTCATGAAAACATCGGGTGTTGCCTAGAGTGGGACTGATGCTATCATGTTCATCAAACCAAGCCACTTTCTCAACACTTATTCCAGTGAACAAACAACATTGAAAACTGCTGTAAGCCACAGAAACAAATCAATTACAATCTGAAATCGTGTAAAGGAAACTGACAGGCTGATATACATTGCCTGTATTTATGGTGGCCATGTTTTTTTTTTCTCTTGTCACAATAAATTTGAGGGCGTTGATCTATAAAAAGTGTAATATAAAAAGTAATATAAAAATACTTTTTATATATTAAGCATTTTGTTATATCGAATTTCGTTATGTAGAGTTTTAAATGTAGATGTGAGAAATGTAATGATTCAGCGTAACTGGGTTATGAGGGGATAAAAAATTCAAATAATATTTTGTATGCCTTTGACTAGCCTTAATGGTTGAACATTGATAGTGAGGAGAAAGTACGATAGCAAGAACTAAGTTTTAACAACAAAGAGGGCAGTTCCTAAGAATTAAGCGACAGGAAATCATCCTGCGGCTCGAGCAGTGACTCTTGAATGCTGAAAGGGGTACAAAACAGTTTTTCAGCATGGTTGGGAAATGCTGCCAATTGCTAGTCAAGGCTGCAGAGAACATGCGAACCAAACATTATACCACAGCATGGGGCCTGGAATTCACAATTAGTTTTCAATGTCGGCTCGAAAACATTCTCTCTTCTTTCTACAAATGATGCCATATATGCAAATCCATGGTAATTGCCTGCCTAGTGTAGTAGTTGAGTCTGGTGGCGGGCCTGTTGGTACATAGCTTGGAAAATCAATGAACCCAGCCTTCAAAGACACGTACTACACAAGAACAGAAGTATTGACCACCAGACACCAGCACTCCAGTGTGGTCATCAGTACTTCTCTTCTTGTGTACGTGTCTTTGAAGGCTGGGTTCATTGATTTTCCAAGCTAGTTGCTGTAGTCGTCACAAGATGTCGGCCATGTACCGTGCACGCGCTCGTGACCACACTGAAATTAAGCCGTGTGTTCGAAAAAGAAAAAAAGACAAGTGCTCAAGGTAACGCCATGCGCGTATTGTAACTAATTTTAACTGCGCCATCCCTTCGTGCTTAGCTGTAAGCCTGCTTGTCGAGACGAGAGAAGAGAGACAGTAACTACAGCGTGTCACAAAACTTGGCTTGTACTTGACGGGTATTAAAAATTTTTTTCGCAATAAACTCCTTTCGTTAAGCTGTTTTATGATTACCTGGAAAAGTGTTGCAGAGCTTCTTTAACAGCTTTATCGTAAAGACTTACGGTATGCACGCATGAAAGCCTTCCTTGTTTATGTCTAAAAAAAAGTGCGAAAAAAGCCATACCTCACAAGGACGAAAGAGGCAGGACGACGCATTAAGTCCTGTCTCTTCGTGCCTGTGTGTTGTGTTCTTTTTTTTTTTTTGCACTTTATTTAAACATGAATTCCAAACCAACTCGTCCAACTGTTCTAGTTCAGTATCTTCTTTACTTTATTCCAATAACTGTGTTCTTGATGAAAGTGTGGCCTGCTTGCAGCGCTGCGATTACAGTGCCCTGGCTCCATTCCTGCCGCCCAAGTGCGAGTACGTGATCAGCGTACGGCTGTCCGAGGTGCAGGTGGCGCTGTACAAGCACTTTTTAGAGCACCTTGCTCGTGGCCGCCAGAAACAGGCCGGAGCCGGCACGTCGCTTTTCTGGGACTTCAACATGCTACGCAACATCTGGACGCACCCAATGCTGCTCGAGTTGAGCGCCGAAAGGCTCGCTAAAAAGGAGCTTCTCAAGGACGACGAGGTATTTCTTTTTTTGTGCAGCCTGCCTGGGCTATGCCTAAAATAGGAGGATGTGGTATGGCGAGTGTGCTGTGCTTATATAATGCAGCTCTCGTTATACCTGCCAACTTTCCCAGTTTGCCCGGGAGACTTTCTTGCCTGTATTTCGGATTGTAGGATTGTGGCCACAAATCTCCCGATAAACTGCCTCGACTCATCCTTGAAAATAAGAACTACAGTAAAACAAGAACCAATTATCAAAACAACACGAACTTATTTATACAACAAGTCCAACAGGTACATCCTTGCGGCTTGAAAAGTTCACTGCCCACTGCAGCTTCCTGTCGCCCGCCAGACTCTTTTTTCTTTCACCAAAAAACCACAAACATACACACATCCCATCACTGATGCTGGTTGGCACATCTCTCATTTTATGGCCTAGTTTGCTGGAGTACAGTAACAGTAGAAGAGGCTAAAACGTTTTTTAAATGCAGAAGAATCTTGATAAGCTTACGGTTGATGCGAATTTAGTGATGATACCAATTTTAAGGTTGCTTCAGATGGACTGCATTATAAGTCAATTCTCGGTAATTCAAACACAAAGGGACCTCTGAATTTCGTTTGAATTATCAAGAAGTATGAATTATCAAAAGTTCTCAGATATATGACTGTGGGTGAGGTGACACCATACTTTATCATCAGGCATTGATTTTATCAGATTTAAAAATTTGCACAGCATTTTTAAACCCTAACTGCACGCAATGAACAAAAAGCAGAGGTATAAGAGCCACAAGTTTATCAGCTATTTACTGCTGATAAGTCCTTTTAAAGAAATCGTCAATTGCCAACTACTTCTTTACTATATGTGCCTTCAACACAGAGCTCTCTATACCAGTTAGAAGCATCACGGTTTACCATGCATGTCAAACATTTGTTTACTAGCAAAGCCTTCTTTCTCGAAGACCAAAGGCATTAATTTTTCAATTTTAGACTGTTAGGAATATATAAGAATGCAAGATTTTAAATAGTAATGGGAAAACAGCAGATATTTTCTGGTATGAAACCACAAAAAGTATTAATTAAGGGGGCAGACTGGTCTTAGACATTTTTTGTTTATTTCTTCAGTGATCTTGATAAAACTGCAAAGGGTTATGCAGTTTTTTCTGCTGATTTCAAATATTTAATTAGTTTTTCTGTAACTCACTTTGTTGCTGAGATAACTTAAGTTCACCCCCTATTGTTTAAGGCCACCATAGAAAAAAAAGTGCTTAATTAAAAGTGATATTTAGGATATGCCAACATAGACTAATGACTATAGAGTGAAAGTATGGAAGAGGTTTTTGTTTTTAGGCCTTTATTGGTTATTTTGCAGCAAAATGAACTATACATTTTCAAAAGCAGTTGGAATTGTGTTACAATTCTGATTAGTAATTAATTAAAAAGGCATGTGCTCTAAATTCTGCTTTCATACTTGCATTCTACACACATACAGGTTTCCACTGCAAGGATAATTATTGTTGTACCTGCCCTAGCTGCAGAGATATTGAGGCCTCAAAACTGAATAGTCACAAATTTACTTTTTTGAGAAAAATGGAAAAAACTGAAAACACACAGTTTCTTCAAAAAGCAACAATGATGGTGCGCATGTTTTGCAATCCTCATAAAGGTGCTCATAAATTGGTAGTAGAGCTTTAGACAAAGGTGCTGGCAAATTATAAAGAAGCCTCAAAGTCGGTTCCCCATTTTTTTGCAGGTTCTGCATGTTAACAGCACCAAGAATCTGGACAGTTAAAATGACATTACAAAAAAAGTACTACTTCCTGGTGCGTGAAAATTTGCAGAGAGATAGAAAAATACTTGCAGAAACCAAATATGTCAATTTTAAAAAATGAACTTTTTTGTCACTTTTTGGTCCCAAAGAGCAGTCTGCCCCCTTAACCGAATGATGGAGTTGGAATTAAAGGCTTTTAAATACATTGAAAGATTAGAGGGCCAACCAAAAAGTTGAATTTTATTTGAAATAAATAAAATTATGAATTATTAGAGCTTGAATTATCTCAAGTCTTCTGAATAAAATATGCTGTGATTACGTGTTATACGAACGGTTCTCCCAGCCACCGCAGATGATACGAATGCGCGATTGACCTCTGCACGTGAACGGCGCAATGCGACTTGTCTGAGGGAGGAAGGGCCATTCACACTTGGCCTCAAAGAGAGCGAATGAGGCAAAAAATCACTGGAATTTCCGTCGTTCTGCCACCTTAGTGGCCAGAAAACCACGCCTCGAAGTCGATGCAAAAACATTGGTCTGAGACCAATTTTTCCGCCACGCGATAGCAAATCACATTTTTGCTTCACGACTTTGTACACCGGCTGCAGTAGCTCTCAAACCACGTGATGTAAATCATCAGCCGCAAATTCAACATGGCGGCAAGGGTGCCGGCGGTGGTTAGCGTGTTGGCGCAATAGCGAAGTACCCGCGCAGCGTTACAAAGATCACGGCCTTGATAAGGATGCATTCACCGAAAGCCTGGTTTGGATTACGATCGTTGTGAACATCAGAAGTAGAAAAAGGTGCAGAAGCAGCCAGTCGGCATGCCCTACACGTCTTGATTTTGCACTGCCGGCTGAATTCATTGCCGCCGCTGCTGGCGCGTCCGTTTGTGACGTTTCTTTTGGCGTATCTACTGAATCAACATTTGTACAGGTGCAAACTGTTCCTGTTCAGTGGTCTGCATGCATAACTAGAACTCGGTATGAATTTTGATGCTCAGGACATGGGCAAAATGAGGTGAATTCTCAAGCGGCGAAAGCAGCGGCGGCAGGGTGTGTACGAGGGGCAGAACGAATGTGAACATTTTTGACGAGCGCTAACGTGGTTTTGCAGCTGCTCTGGCATTTTCGCTTGAATTCTCCAGCGTGAATTCTGCAGGACTGATTTTTTTCTATGTCGGCGTTGCGCGGCACGTTTTTCCGCCCGCTTATGCGCAAAGCGAGTGAATTTTCAATAAGTTCTGCCACTTTTCCTCCCTTTGATGCCAAGTGTGAACGCGCTTTAAGCGCCAGCAGCATGAGCGAGAAAATGGCGGCACTTTATTTAGGGGCGGTGAAAGCAGGAAAGTTCAAAAGAACATAATGATTTTTTTTTCTAGGAAAAAGTAGTTGACGCCAATAAAGTTCTTGTTCATCTTCATGATAAGCTTTAACTTGTTTTTGGTTCACACGAGTTCAGGATAATACGAATATTTTGCAGACTCCCTTCGAATTCATATCATCGAGATTCTGCTGTCACATTGTTTAAGTCGGGCCACGGCCTGCTGAGAATGTTCCAATTCCAAGGACATTAGGGCTGCATGCTGGATGCGTGACTCTTCTGAGGACTTTTTTGAACGATGAAAAATTTGATAAAGACACTTTTGTCGTACATTCAAAAAGTGTTGCAGGAACCCTTTGAAGGGGCCACTTGAAGTAAGGGCATTTTTGTTGACCGATGGCATAAAACAATTCTTTACAACGAGTGCCTTGATTTCAGAAGTTGTAGGTTGGCAGGTATGTGCTACACTTAGGTGCCCGTACTTTCGTTGGGCAGCAGCATGTCTCGCCTGTTGTCACTGAAAAGACAAACACATCGAAAGATGAAAGCAGATGCAGAGTGCAAAAAGCATGTTATTGATGTTTGACCTTCCATTAGGGGGTCCTTGTTTTGTTCATTTTTTTCTCTCAATATGATTTGGCATTTAATTCAGAAGCTACTACAGTAAAAGCTAAAAGCTCGTTAATTTGATCTCGAAGGGAACTGTAATATTGTTTGATATAAGCAAAGTTGAATTTAGTGGGCAGGTGCTAAAATGCACAAACATTGCGCCACACTGCGCGGCCATGAACTCAAAGAAGCCACCTCTGGACTCGTCATCTCGAACTACGCACTGCGGTAGGTTATTTCAATAGAGAGCTTTAGTACTGCGGAATGATGCTACGTACGCATCACGCAAGCGCCTTGCGTTTCGTGGCGTCGTTTGCCACTAATCGGCTTTTAGTACGCCGTAGCATCCGCTTACATAACTAGCGTGAAGCGTGTTGCGTCATCTGGTAGATCAAAGTAGAAATACGTGTTGTTGACAGCCAATGTGAGCCAATCCAAGTGTTATAGCCAGATTATGGCCATATTTTAAGCCACAGAGCTGGTCGGTGCTTGCCTTCGATGCCGCCATTTTGCAAAACGAAGTCTCGCGCTGTCGTGAACTTGTTCGAGAGCGGTGTGATCACCTCATACGTACGCACGCACGCATCTCATGCATGCGTACGTGGCGGCTGCGTACGTAAAGCAATACGTGCGCATTGCGGTCTGCGCATGCGCACTACGCAGAACGTGGCGTCCTTACGTACGCAGCGTACGCAGTACTAAAACTCTCTATTGATTAAGTTCATGGAGCCTTTAACAGTGAACAGAATTATTTTATCAGTCAATGATACGCCAGAAACAAACACTGGCATGCAGTCATATAAGGAGTGAGCTAGCCTTAGTGTCAAAATGTATGACTCTATTTATGCTCCAAAACACATTTATTTACAATAGAGATTAAGCAATCAAAATTACAAGTCGTTTTCATTTGCTTGCTTTCTTTTTATCGTGAACCCATCAACTTATTTTGTTGCTTGCCCTAGAGCTCCAGTGCAGCATCTGAAATTCCATCTGCTGAAGAATGCTGTTTTGTTGTTTTGCATATACGGTAAATTTAGTTTAGATTGGTTTTGCAACATGTTGTGACTAGTCTGTGCCGACTTCTTCGCGCAACGACGAAAACTGGTGGTTTTCAGTTCGAAATAAGTTCCAGGGACACTGACCTTTTCAAATTATCGGGAGTTATCTCCCATAAAAACCCATAGGGCTGTGTTGGGACCAGGATGTCAGTTCAAATTAACGAGCTTTTACTGTATATAATTATTAACCTCATATCTTTGGAATTGTCGTTTGTGCTGTTGTATTTGCACTTTTCTCTGTTCCAGAATTTGTGTATGTTTCAGAAGTTTGTGATGTGCAAAGTTTGTTATTTTTTCAGAGTGACATGGCCTCCTTCATTGACGATGGGTCAGTGTCAGAAAAGAGCTCTTCAGAATCAGATGGCAATGATGCTGTCATTTGTTTGGATGATGATGAGGGACCCAAGACAAGATCCCAGAGGAGGTTTGTTGTTATTTATTTTATTTCATTGTATTTGTTTATATATTTTTTTCATTTCTGCCAGTCTCTTCCAGAGACCATAGCAGGGGATGGGCTTGCAGGTTAAGCTTGCAGGTTGAACATGTAGGTACAAGAATACACGAGTGTCACACAGGAATTTAGCTTAGTGTCAGTCACCAAAAAAAGGTGTACAATGGAAGTTTGCTAATAATTAGGAATGAAAATGAAATCTAAATTTTATGAACAACACGCTTGGATGCACGAAGCCATGTTCCTCTAAAACTGGAGCAGATTATCACCAAGGTACTACATGGAGGACGCACGTGCGTAAAACAAGGTGGCGTAAAACAAAAGGCGTAAAACAAAAAACTTGTACATACACAAATGTGATTTCACAGGGACACAATGTTTTGTGCAGGGCAAAAAAGAAGGACGACAGTGACCGGGATGAGAAAAAGGAAAATGACAAAGGTGACAAAAGCAGTGATGACGAAGTTATATCAACATGGCAGACAAGAAGCCGAGGTTCGTTTTCTCCACGACCACAGTGTTTTCTGTGTACTACGTCTTAACAGAGTGGTGGTTAATTACTGCCACTATAGGTTGTGTCCTGTGTTTTCAGTTTGCCTCGCAAAGTGTTTCCCCACATTGCAGTGCTGAGCTTTGATTTTCGCTTGACTCTGTCAGCACTTACACGAGGATTAGATTTAGGAGATTGCACTGGCTTATGAAGAAAAATAAAAACCACTCACAGCTACGTGGACTAAGTCGAGGGCCCTAGTTATGGCCTTGTATGGTGTTCTGACTAAATGAAAAAAACAAAACACAGTTTTACTGCAAGGGCAAAGCAATGAATGCAATAGCAACAATTTGGAATGTTATACGAAGAAAGGCTAGCTGCTGACCCTTTTGAATCAATCACATGCAACTCAACCAAACACTGGGAAGAAAGCCACTGCAGGGAACAAAGCAATTTTTATCCTGTCTGTTCTGTCAATGTAAAATAAGCAATAGGAGCTGCGCAAGTGTACAAGCAGTCTCCTGATATCTGTCTAGATAGCGCATGCACCACCGCTTACAACCACGCCCTTATGAGCAAAGTTTGCAGTTACTGCTCTAACAGTACCGCCCCCTCCCTCCCTCACCACCCCATGATGCTCCTTCACCCAACACAGGGCGGACGGAGCGTTTCCTTCCTGCTTCACGAGCCATCGACTGCAGGCCTCGCATGCGGAGTGATGTTATTGCGTGCACCCTTCATACAGCTCGGATGGCCGATTTGTTTCATCTCTTCTTCAGCCACATTTGTCCCCAGCGCTTGCAAGCTTGTGTTCATATAGAACATACAATCCGTAGGGTGATTTTGTCGATTCAAACTTCATACGAAACATGACAGCCAGAACGATAACCTACCAAGAGTGGCCATATGATTGCTGTCACAATAAAATTGCTGGTGCCTGTTGCATTGTGTGTGTTAGACCTTTGCAATGTGTTCAGGAAATGCTAAATGTTCTGTGTCGTACAGGTTCATATTGCTATGTGCCAGTGCATGGAGACGAAGAAGAAAACAGGCGCGAGCTATTCTCTGTGGCTGGCGCTGCTCGCTTAACCGGCTGTAAATACATCTCTGACTACTCCTCGGAGTCGGTCTTCTTCTCGTAACATATTTGGTGGAGGTGCTGGGCCCTACATTGACGTTTTTGACCTCAGTGGTCGTCTGTTGGGGAAAGCTGCCGGTACGACTCACCGCATAAACACTGGTAATGAGCATCCTATTCATAGGTGTCCATATAGGGTGTCGGCGGCCGAGCGTCACATTATCCAAAGTGAGGTCGACAAAATGCTCACCAAGGACATCATTGAGCCATCCTGCAGTCCTTCGGCTTCTCCTGTAATGCTAGTCCGCAAGAAAGACGGTGCATGGCGTTTCTGCGTTGATTATCGACACCTCAACAAAATTACAAAAAAAAAGACGTCTACCCTCTGCCACAAATAGATGGTGTGCTTGATTGCCTCTATGGGTCCCACTATTTTTCCTTCATAGATCTTCGTTCCGGCTACTGGCAGATAGAGGTAGATGAAATGGACCGCGAAAAGACGGCATTCATCACCCCCGATGACCTATATTAGTTCAAAGTCATGCCCTTCGGCCTTTGCAACGCTCCAGCCACTTTCGAATGAACGATGGACTCCCTGCTCAGAGGATTCAAATGGTCCACCTTTTTGTTCTACTTGGACGTCATCGTCTTTTCACCAACATTTGAAACTCATATTGAGCGCCTATAAGTCATCTTGGGCATCTTCCATCACGCTGACCTGCAGCTCAACTCGTCGAAATGTCACTTTGGACGCCATCAAATCACAGTAATCGGCCATTTAGTAGACGGCAACGGTGTACAACTAGACCCGGCAAAAATCAGCATCGTCAAAAACTTTCTTGTACCACGATCTGCGAAGGATGTACGCAGCTTTATAGAACTACGTTCCTACTTCCGACGCTTCGTGAAAAATTTTGCGCACATAGCGAGGCCGCTTACGCAGCTTCTCAAGAAAGACGTCCCGTTTTCATGGGGCTCCGAAGAGGCTTCTGCGTTCTCGATTCTCATCGCTCTTCTCACTACTCCTCTGATTCTGGCACACTTAAACCCTGCTGCCCCTACGGAAATCCGTACAGATGCAAGTGGACATGGAATTGGTGCAGTGCTGGCTTAGACACAACATGTCCATGATTGCGTTATTGCATATGCCAGCCGCCTCCTATTCGCACCTGAACGTAACTATTCGATCTCAGAGCGTGAGTGCTTTGGCTCTTGTATGGGCAGTGGCGAAATTCCGACCTTATCTATACGAACGCCCATTTTCGGTAGTTATCGACCACCACGCGTTCTGCTGGCTCAACTCTCTGAAAGATCCATCAGGCCGCCTTGGTCGCTGGGCTTTGTGCCTGCAAGAGTTTTCATATTCGGTTGTCTATAAATCGGGCCATCTACACCATAATGCCGATTGCCTCTCCCGGTACCCTGTCGACGATCCTGAGGACACTGACGAGCCAACAGAGAACTCTATCTTGTCAGTGTGCGACTTCCTTAACATTGGGGAAGAACAGAAGCGCGATCCAGTGCTTGACATCATCAGCCACACGGAATCCTCCCCAAATGATGCTTCCATTTGCTACTTTGTCATTCAAAAAGGTGTGCTATACAACCACAATTTCCGACCAGACGGGCCTGACCTTCTCATTGTTGGGCCTAAACATTTGCGCCGCTGTGTTCTCTTCGAACTTCACGACGCTCCCACGGCAGGACACCTTGGCACATCCCGCACGTACGAGCGCGTCCGGCACCGTTTCTTTTGGCCAGGCCTTGCTCGCTCGGTACGCCGATACGTCGCACGTGCGACCTATGCCAACGTCAAAAAACACCGTCGCTGCTACCCGCTGTCCATCTTCAACCAATCGACATAGGACACCTTGGCATATCCCGCACGTACGAGCGCGTCCGGCACCGTTTCTTCTGGCCAGGCCTTGCTCGCTCGGTACGCTGATACGTCGCCACGTGCGACCTATGCCAACGTGAAAAAACACCGTCGCTGCTACCCGCTGGCCATTTTCAACCAATCGACATACCCTCGGGACCATTTTACCGTGTTGGGTTAGACCTGCTTGGTCCTTTTCCCACATCAATATTGGGAAAAAAATGGATAGCCTTGATTACGGACTATGCTACACGCTACGCTACTACGCGAGCTCTACCGACCAGCTGTGCAACCAACATCGCCGACTTCTTGTTACGGGACGTTATATTGATTCACGGTGCTCCGAGACAAGTCCTCACAGACCGTGGCCGTACATTTCTATCCCAAGTCATCGCCGACATTCTGCGTTCTTGTTTCGCTCAACACACACTGACAACCGCTTACCACCCTCAAACAAACGGCCTCACAGAACGATTTAAGCGTACTCGTAACCGTAACAAATATGCTCGCTGTGTACGTGTCATCGACCACCGAGACTGGGCCTTGCCTTACCCTACGCAACCTTCGCGTATAATTCATCCCGTCACGACACAGCGGGCTTTTCCTCGTTTTACTTATTGTACGGAAGACAGCCGACTTTACCACTGGACACAGTCATCTCAGCTAACACCTCGTCCACCAGTGAGTATACCCACGACGCGATTGCGCGTGCCAATCATGCCCGTCAGCTCGCTCGCGCTCGTCTGATGGCGTCGCAAACCAACCAATGCCGTTGGTACGATGTGGAACATAGAGGCGTACATTTCACTCCCAGTACCCTCGTTTTACTCTGGTCCCCTCATTGTCGGCTGGGCCTATCAGAAAAACTTTTGTCTCATTATACGGGACCCTACCGTATATTGCGTCAAGTAACACCTGTCACCTACGAGATCAGCCCCATCGATATATCATCTTCTGTGCGGTCCATTGATATTGTACACGTATCGCGGATCAAGCCCTACAAGAATGTGTCAGATAACGACCTTTAAAACACCGGGACGGCGCCTCCGCCACCGGGGGTCATGCTACGTGCCAGTGCATGGAGACGAAGAGGAAAACAGGCGCAAGCTAATCTCTGTGGCTGCCGCTGCCGCTGCTCGCTTAACCAGCTGTAAATACATATCTGACCACCCTCCGAGTCAATCTTCTTCTCGTAACAATATATTTGACTGTTTCAAGATTTTAGTAGCGTTCTTGTTCACTTTAATTTTTTGAGCGTTTTTGCCGTTCATGCACAGCAGTGGTTTTCTGTCCCACAGTGTCTTTGCCATATGGGTACATTTTTAAGCCTCCGCGTGAAATTTCGTGTCCTAATGACAATGCATGCTCACCGGGAGATGCTGCCACCTCCTGGAACTTACAGAAAGGATTGGAAATAATTGTGCTACCTTTTTGTGCAGATAATCAGAACTTATTTCTAGCATGAGTGCATTACGTGGTCGGCGGTGACCCCAATGAACAATGCCCTTTCGTGGTTTCGGTTTCATCGTGCGATCGCAACAGGAGCACACAAAGCTTGATTTTTATCTTTATTGGCACTTCCTTGCAGAGGCAGTGGAAGGTAATATCGATCTTTATTCGCTCTGCTTGTCTATCACCGGTACTCACGGTGTATTCTTGCTCTCCTTAATTACCAAGCTCACTCTGCCCTAGGCAGCTGCATGCAAAAAAGGTGCTGCAAATTTGCGCCAACACAACTCATCAGTGCAAAAGACGAACACACGCATTTTATGTGCGCAGACTGGGATAAGGCGCCGTGCACAAACTCGTCTTTCAAAGAATACCATGTTTTGAAATGCTGAACATTGTGCAGTGATAAATGATAGAGACACCAAAGTATCGTTCCTGAACTTTTTCCGAACTTTATGAATTTGTGCATTAAAAAACACTATAAAGTAATTTGGTGGTTTTACAAAATTTTTTGAGAAAAATTCGACATTGAAGGGCTAAAATGGTGCTTCATCTGCTCAATGACATTACTATTATTTTTTTATTTTGCAGTACCCCACACTTGTTCTCTCTTACGACTTTGTAACCTCTCCGCAGTGCATTTTGTACTTCCAAAGAAGTCGAGCTAGTAAGGTGGAGTTGGACAATTTTGATGTCCTCCTGTACAGGTAATCCAGATGAACGGCCGCCCACACCACCGAAGCAAGAGAAGAAAGAATGGTGGGACCAGTACGTTTCTGAAGAAGACATGGAGAAGCTGCAGATTAGTGGGAAAATGAGTCTGCTGTACAATATCCTCCAGGAATGCGATGCTATTGGTGACAAAGTGTGAGTGTCTCCACTCGTTATGCTTTGTTGACTTGTTTGTGCCAGTTAATCTTAACCGCTGACTGTGCCTATTCGTGCAGTAAAAATACTCGCATAATAAACACTTACCCAGCTCGTTCAGGGAAGGCATTTTGATATTTGCAAAGTCCTCATGTATTGCTTGCCATGAATCAAAGTTGTCAGGCCTTTGGGGGCTGAAGGCCTGGAAGGTGCTACTTGCTGGGAATGGAGGAAATGCGTATTTACTGGGACGTTCAGTTATCAAATGCACTGTTCAGTCATTACAGTTTTTTTTTTTTTTTGCAATCTGGTTCTTTTGTAACCTACAGCATTTAACCGAGACACTATTAAAGTATCACTCCACTTTTCTATAACTTCTTATTTTATGCCATTGTGATTAATAATAATAGTCAAACCCCTTTATAGGAGGCATGCTCCAGACAGCAATTCTTGTCTCTTACATGAGGTGTCTCTTATAAACAGGGTACCTCGTGTGTATTTTCCTATCAACCCGTATTTTATTGTAGGTGCATGGGTGTCTGTTATACCCATTTGTATCTTATAAAGGGGTACGACTGTAATAATAATAATTGGGGGTTTTACGTGTCAGAACCTAATAAGGTTATGAGACAAGCCATTCCTGGAGAGCTCCAAGATTATGTTAACCACCCAAGGTTCTCTAGAGTGCACATAAATTGAAGCCCTGGGTGTGGCCACCATGGTCGAAAGTCTAACCTGCGCTCCTGAGCTTAGCGATTCAGCATCTTGGGGTGTTAATGCAATTGAATCACTTTATAAGAGACATGTACCTGGGAATATGTTTTGTCCCTTATGCTATGAGGCTACTCTCATAAACAGGTTTTTACTTCTTCAATGTCTAATCAATTGTTACTTCAATGCTGGGCACAGTGGGGTGTTGTATACAGTTGTCCCTTAAACCAGTGTCTCTTAAAGGGCTCCAACAGGCTCCAACTTTTGTTTACACCGCCCAAAGAAGCTCTGCAATTATTCGTAGAGTAGACCGTAGCGATCACGTTTTCTGAATATTCCAGCACTGCGCGCCGCGTAGAGCCCCACTTCGTGAAACAATTCTTGTCTTGCACCTGACCAATCCTCCTGTCACACGCAGTGATGCAAAGTCACCAATTGGTGATGACTTAGCACGCAGCTCGTCGATTGGTCTAAACCAGTCACGACCTGTGAGAGAGAAGGGTGGCGGGGTCGCATGAAAAGTTGAAACCAGCTGGAGCCGATGTTCTGATCCCTGTAACTTCCTTAATGTAGAACGTATTCGCGAAATTCTTGCGGCAGCATGTTCACAAAGCAGAAGTGCAGATATTTCTCTTTATAACAATTTTTGGATCTCGGGAGTTATTTACTGGCCCTTTAAAAGAGGTTCAACTGTATGATGAACGATTAAAGGATTAATCGTTGGAAAGTGTCCCACAAAGCAATTTACCATCATTGTTCATTTTTCATTTGTAATCAGTTTAATTGACTTTGTGAGGGCTGGGCGGGCTAGGCATGAAGGCTGAGAGGCGTTGTGAACGAGAAGAATGCGCTTTATTCGAACATGAAAACGTGCCGACCGCGCCGGAGGCGGGAGCGAGATTGATAAAAACGTGTCCCCGGCCCTCGCTTGGGCTTGGAGTTTATCTGAGTAAAGGCGCCGCAGGTGGCGCTGCCGATTAGATAGGCCGCTACGCTATAGTGCGCATGCGGGCGCTCACATCCGGCCCCTCCTTGTCTGACCAAGTCCCATTGGTCTAGGAAAGGAGCACTACTTGGTGGCTTCACTGCGAGAGAGAATAGTCCTTCAAGCGCTCGGGTGGGCGCTTTTGGCGGTGAGGTCGCGAGGAGGGTACCGCTGGAGGCAAAACTGCAGGGCCAAGGGAAACTGGTGGTTGAGATAACTCATTGCCAACACTGGGAGAGCCAGATAAGTCACACAAAGGCCACTCTTGGGTTTTCACAATGTAAGGCTCGACATAAGGTGGCACGTAGTGCTTGAGTTGAGAGACGTGCACTATCCTGTCTTGGAGTCGATCACGAGGACCTTGACCAGTTACGCGGCTAACGACAAACGTAACGGGTGTTTTCTGGTTGGTGATTTGGTATATTCCCTTGAATTTGGGTGCCAACTTTCCAGTTCCATCTGCTACAGGCTCTTGGCGGCGCACCCAGACGAACTGGCCGACTTGGAAGGAGTGGTCTCGATGGGACTGATCATATGCTGTCTTCCGTTTCCCTTGTGCTTCCTCGGTATTACTTGCTGCTACGGCCCGGTTCTGAGACAGCATTAGGAGACGGTCTTGTAGGGTCCTGGCTGTGGCGGGACGGTGGCGTTGATATGGGAGCTTGGGGACGTATCCATACAGTAGTTCAAATGGAGAGAAACAGCTGCTGGCGCTATAGCTTGTGTTGATGGCAAAAGCAGCTTCTTCGAGTTTGCTTGCCCAGGAGGTGTGGTCCGTTGGACACAGCTTACGAAGAACGGAGACTAAAGTCCCATTGCTTCTCTCTACAAGACCATTGCTGGCTGCGCGGTATGCCACTGAATAATGAATCTCAGCACCGTGCATGTGCATGAAGTGCTTAAACTGGCGAGATTCAAAGGCTGCTCCATGGTCAGACATGCAGTCATCAGGACAACCAAAGCGGAAGAACACCGACTGTAAATGTGCTATAACTTCCTTAGCTGATGTTGAAGTTACAGCCGCTGGGACAATGAAACGCGTGGCAAAGTCAATGACATTCAAAATGTACTTCTTTCCTGAAGCAGCCGGCATTGTGATGTGATCAATGGCAATTAAGGCAAAAGGAACATCCGACACTGGCATGAGACCCATTTTGCCAACACTTTTAGATATTGGGCGGTTGTTGCTTTGGCAGATCTGGCATGCTGTGACGTAGTGGGTCACTGAAGACGTAAGGTTTGGCCACCAGTAACGTTCTCTCACTTTGGTCAGTGTCCGGGTTACATCCATGTGGCCTCCACCGTCATGAACAACCTCCAGGACAGCCTGGCGCATCTTTGCTGGCACTACAATAGCTTGAGAACCTGAAGTCGCGTCACTATGGTACAGGATGTCATCAATTATGGCAAGGTCATGGTCCCACGATTCTGAAGATGACAGAGAGCGACGAAGGTCCTGGCACTCTTTGTCTTCTGCTTGCATAGCTGCGAGAGACTGTGTCTGATGGAGGACTGCTGCAGATAATCGTGACAGCATGTCAGCAACCACGTTTTGACGGCCTGGATGGTGCTGCACAGTGAAGTCGAACTCTGTAAGATCCATCAACATGGTCGTAAAACGACGTGAAGGCCTGATGTTGGCTGTTAAGCATGCAACGGTCCAGTTGTCAGTCAACAGGCAAAATTTCTTGCCGAGCAAGTAGTGTCGGAACTTGATCGTAACCGCCCAGTGGACACCAATACACTCCCAAACGTTGCTATGCAACTTCTTCTCTGCGGCCGTGAGTGCACGACTCGCATATTCGATCACAGTTTCTTTTCCACACTGTTTCTGAGAGAGCACAGCACCAATTGCGGTTCCTGAGGCATCTGTTGTGACTGTGGTTTGGGCGTCTGGATCAAAATGGCCCAGTACAGGTGCCTCTGTTAATGCTGTGCGAATTCGCTGAAAGGCTTCATTGCAGTCGCTGGTCCAGGCAAACTCCTCAGACCGTATGAGACTCTGCAACGGTGCTGCTATCCGAGAGAAATTCCTCACAAATCGGCGATAGAAGTTTGCTGTCTGGAGCCATGACAAAACTGCTTTGCTGTTTGCAGGCTGTGGGATTTTCATGATGGCTTCGACTTTGGCAGGGTCAGGCTGCTTGCCGTCCCTGCTCAAAATGAATCCGAGAAACCTGATAGACTTCAAAGCAAACTTACACTTGTCAAGTGAAACTTTGAATCCACTGGCAAGGAGTGCACCCAGTACTTCGTCGAGTAACCTTGCAAACTCGTCAAAAGTTGGCGCAAAAACCAGAACATCATCCAAGTACACCCGCACACCGCACTTTGGGCAATGGGGCTGCAGGTTAGCAAAAATTGACTGCATGGCTCGCTGGAAAGTGGCAGGTGCGTTCTTCAGCCCAAATGGCATGCGGGTCCACATAAAGGTGCCATAGTGGGTCACAAAAGCAGTTTTTGCCTGGTCTTCCTTACGAACGCGAACTTGCCAGTAAGCAAACTTTAGGTCAAGGCAGGCGAAGTACTGTGACCCAGCAATGTCATCCATGATGTCATCCGCATGTGGAAGTGGTTGCACGACGTTCACAGTCATCTTGTTTAGGGGCACATAGTTAACACAAAGGCGCTTCTTGCTACCTCGGCTGACAACCACTGCGGGGAATGCCCAAGGTCCTAAGGCTGGTAGAATGATGCCTTGCCGAAGGAGTGTGCTTATTTGAGCCTCAAGAAAACGACGGTCTGCAGCAGAGTAACGGTAAGGGGATCGACTGTATGGCACAGCATCGGGAAGAAGGTCGATTGAGTGTTCAACACCCTCGTACAGACCTAAGTCATCCTCTTCACGAGCGAATACTTCAGCGTGCTTCGAAAGAATGCTCGTGATTTCCCGTTGTTGATGTGCTGGCAAATGGCTACCAACCTGAGCGGCAGGCAAGGATGGGTCAATGCAAACCTCTATTGTTGAAGAAGCACCTCGCCTGCATTCAGAAGACGGGCCGTTGGTGTTTGAAACCTCATATTGACAAGATAGTGCTAACCACGGGGGTTCATCTGGGCCTGGGAGTGGCATTCGCTGGAGGCCTGCTGAGCTGTGGTGTCCAGATACATGGTAATTGAAAGATGACCCCTGGATCATAACAGCGTTCGACATCCTGGGCAACAGTCGCTCATAGCACCGCACACTTGTTCCTGTGGTGGGATGACGAATTTCAGTTGGCATGGGTGGCTGGAACACCAACTGTGCGTGACTGGCAGCAAACCAGTCTTCCCCCAATATAAGTGGCATGGCATTGTTATCGAGGACGGCGGCTTCCACCAAACCGGTGATGGGTCCCACAGAGATCTTCAAGCAGATAGCACCAGCAGGAGCCACTGTCGTTCCTCCAACGACAACTAGAGGGGGTCTGGTCCAGGGCAGGAGGGGCAAAGATCTGACAAGGTGACGAGAAACAAGTGTCACCTTGGAACCACTGTCTGGAAATGCGTCCACTTGGCCGCTTCCAGCAATTGTGGCGTTTACAAGGGCGCATTGGACCAGCGATCCATCAAGGGTCTCGGAAAGTGTGCTGTGAAGAGCTGGCGAAGGATGCGTTGTAGACTGTGTGGCAGTAGCTCTGGATGGGCACTTTGAAGCTAGATGTCCTTTTTGGCGGCATTGAAAACACACGGCTTCGGCCAAGTTCTGGCCAGAACGGTAGGCAGGAGCGCCGTGCCTCGTAGAGATGGTCAGGTACCGAGCCTCTTGTTGGTCTGGTGGTAGGGCTGCGATTCGCTGCGGCTGTCTTGTTTTGTCTGGTACCGCCTGAACATTCGTGCCCTCTTCACTGTGGTGGGGCACCTGTGGGCTTGGCATTACTAGTTTGGTGCTTGAATACCCTGGGCGTGGGAGTCGACGAGACAAGTGGCTCAATGTTTGGTCAAGCTGCGTTACGATGTCCATATAGGCGGCGACGGTTTCTGGCCGTTGTGCTGCTATAGTAGTGGCCAGGTTCTCGTCGGAAATGCCCTGAAGGGCGTACTCTATGCGCTGAGTGTCGGTAAGAGTGACTGGGCATCCCGAAATGAGCTTCAACTTCGCCAAAGAATAGTGGACCAGGTTCTCTCCGTGCGCTTGCACGCGACAAGTAACAGCTTGTTGCCACTGTAGTAAGGTTTGCTTGGCGCTGAATTGATCCAAGAAAGCTTGCCTGAAGGCTTCCCAGGTGGGACACTGACGGCCAATGACTGCTTTCCAATCCGCGGCTGCTCCACGGAGCTTTCCCAGAGCGACGGCGAGTACGGTTGAAGGCTCCCACGAAGCTAGGTTTCGAGTTCGTTCCAACTCTTCAATCCAGTGGGACGCTGAAATGCTGCCGTCTCCATTAAATGTAGGAAGCGATGCGGACAGGTCTGGAAGGGTCGTGACCTGAACTGGCGCTGCAGCGCGTTGTGACACTTGAAGGAGCTGTTGAAGTAAACCCGTCAGCAACTCGGTACTTTGGGCTGCATCGAAGCTCGAAGGAAGCGGCGTAGTGTTCGGGCGCTGGCTGGACGCTGAGGAGTCTGGGGAAGGCGACAAAGGCGTCATTGAGCGGTTTTGGGCTATATCGGCGAGGAGACGATTGATCACTTCTTCCTTCGGCCCCGTAGCGTCCAGGTTTCGGCGAACCAACTCTTCACGGAGGAAGTCTGCTGTAAAGCCGGCGAGGTCCTCAGGCGTAGCCTCGTTCCAGTTCACAAGCGGCATGGCGTTCACAAGAAATTAGCAGAAGGAGCACAAGACTCACGAGAGACGAAAAAGGCGGGCAGGTCAAGTTGGTTCGGCTCTGCAGGCGAGCTACTTCATCGGGCGGGTGGGCGTCAGCACGACGGTCGGCGAAACAAAAGGCAAAGGCACGAAATGACTCGGACGAAGCGGCCGAAAAGCGTATCGGGCGGCGGACGGTAAACACAGGACGGAGCGCCGCGCGGCTAGTCCGGCGGATCACTTCACGAGGCGGGCAAAAGGCGACGTTCCAGGCATGGTTCGGAGTCGACTGCGCCAGTTGTGAGGGCTGGGCGGGCTAGGCATGAAGGCTGAGAGGCGTTGTGAACGAGAAGAATGCGCTTTATTCGAACATGAAAACGTGCCGACCGCGCCGGAGGCGGGAGCGAGATTGATAAAAACGTGTCCCCGGCCCTCGCTTGGGCTTGGAGTTTATCTGAGTAAAGGCGCCGCAGGTGGCGCTGCCGATTAGATAGGCCGCTACGCTATAGTGCGCATGCGGGCGCTCACAACTTAACCTTTTTTATTATAATCAACTTTCAGGCAGTGACAAGAATGAAATCATACTATATCGTACTGAAATCATACTGAAATCGTACCTGAACACCTTAAGAGCGGCAATCGTGATGCCATGGCAGTGCCTAGTGGACAAGCTGGAGCAGCTGTTTGGTGTCGAGTGTTTTCTCGAGAACCAAGTGATGACACCACGGCTAAGATGAGCGCTTCCTCTCGCTTCCCCCACATTGCATACACATTACATCATTCAGCTAGCCACAGCAAGTGAACTCTCCATAAATTCATGTGCTGCATATTTTTTTCTCATTGTACATGGACAAACTGTATTAGTAAAAAATGGTTGCTTGGGGGTTATTTTCATTCGACAAGCACTTGTTCGGCGGTGCAGGTTACATTTAGCACCAACGCTTTCATTTTAGTTTAAAATCTTGACAAAATTTCATTCACTATTCCTAAAATGAAGTTATATGTTGTCGATTTAGATTTGTGGAGTTTAACGTCCCAAAAACACCATATGATTATGAGAGACGCGGTAGTGGAGGGCTCCGGAAATTTTGACTACCTGGTGTTCTTTAACGTGCACCCAAATCTGTATATGTTGTCGATATGTACGTAATAATGGAACGTCTATACAACTTTGAGACATGTAGTTTGTTATATTCATGGACACGATGGTTTGATTTTATTGAAGGAAGATTCATGACGTGGATATCCGTGGGGATGTTAAGAGGGACTTAAATTACTTTACTTTATGGTTATTTTTATTAAATGGATATTATTATGCAAAACGAGGCTTGTCTGTTCATGCACGATGATGATAATCTTTGGGCTTGTGATGCAGTGCTGCACCAGTGGGAGCAACAATGTCTCTGTTATAAGCTTGAGTTAATACTTGAGCACTACGAATATTTGAATGAATAATAACGTATTCAAATTTGCTTCATTTTGAGTTTAAAATATTGGAAATTTTGAAGTAATTGAAATGAACGTATCGATGCATATAGTTTGCATGCAACTCTTTTGTAAAGGTTGTTTCCCTGCCAATAGCCAGAGGCACTGTACCTTGAATATACCTTTCCAGGGAAAATCTGCCACAAAGCCCCACTTCAAGGTCAATTTAACACATGCCCACACATCAATTCATCTTTTTCCAGGTATACAAACATGTGATACCAGCTTATATGCTCTAAGTATAGTAAATATAAATATGTAGCACATTTTAAGAGCTGGCTTCTTTTAAGCTCATGCCCAGTCCTGCGGCCACCGGCGTGTACACCAGTGTTGCCATTGCACACTTCTGCGGTCGCGGCTCCGGTCACCTTTCCGGTGATTGCAACAGTGCTCACTAAATGGCGCGCTGCCACCCAAGGCATCAGTTTTCGAAGACCTGCATGCTCGCTTCCTTGCCACCACATCCACTTCATTCTCGTTGCATCATAAGCACGACAGCACATGACGAGTTCTTACGATAACTGTTACGCACGGGTACCCATATCATCCCAAGCCCCATCACCTGCCTGCTCTCAACCTCATTAAAAAACTCCTGATAGCTCCACGTCTGCCATTTATGAGCATCAGGCACTCGACTCACGGTAGCGGGCTGTTGGTTAACGTGCCGATCGACGTGGCCAACACTGCGCAGTGGCAGCGGCAGAACGTGCCCAAGAACGCTGCCTTTGTCGTACCCCTCATGCGCCAGCTTGTCATTGAGCCTTTTTACAGAAATGGTCTATCGCAAGAAACTCCCCGTGCACCCCCAAGCAAGCTCCTCTAGCATTATTCATTTTGTGGATATGCCGGCGATTTTTTTCAGATTATTACTTTTATTCTACCGTCCGAAACTCAAATTCTGTTATTATTGAAAGTTTCTTCTTTGAACCAAAAAGAATTATATTTGCACATGCCTTGTTTCAATTTAAAAAATATTGTGCAGGTTGTGTCATGATAAGGATGCTCATTTTTTTTTATAATATACAATTTATACTGTTCTATTCGAAATGATTCTAACCAAATCGCTATTACTTCAAACCTAAAACTTACTATTTGCACAAGCTTAGCCTGCAATTCTAAACTCTAAAATAAAGTGCTATTAGTCTTCATTTAGGCAGCATTGCAGGCTATTTCTCATGCAGGTTACTGTTCAGCCAAAGCCTGCTGACTCTCGACATGGTGGAGAGGCTACTGGAACATTGCGATGAACGAGCGGCTGCTGTGGATCCCGATACGGCCCTTGTGGATCCCACAGATCCGTTGCGTGACTGTCACAACACGTGGGTGCGGGGCATCGACTACTTCCGTATGGATGGCTCAACATCAGTGGATTTGCGTGCGCGCTGGATCGAAATGTTCAACGACGAAGACAACCCTCGCGGCCGCCTGTTCCTCATCTCAACAAAGGCGGGCTCACTGGGGACCAACCTCGTCGGTGCCAACCGTGTGGTGCTCATGGATGCCTCATGGAACCCCACACACGACATTCAGGCCATCTTCCGGGTGTATAGATTTGGCCAGAAGAAACCCGTCTTCATCTACCGCATGCTTGCACAGGTGGATACATATTCCTTCCTGCTGCGGGATGAAGAAACAGCTTTAGTCTACTGTTACCACGTGGACAGCAGATATATTGCATTTCTCTATTGTAGCACATATTTCTAGTGGAATAAGATAGTTCCGATAGAATAAAGCAACTTCCCGTGGGAATCCAGTACAATGCACAAATGTGCATCTAATTTGTACAGCTTCGACGGGCAGCTTATTGCACTGATTTATTGCGTTCAAGATAAATTAATTGCGACAAAGGCACCTTTAGGCAGCTGTCGACATTACTGTGGTGGGTTGTTGCAGAGCAGTGAATCGTACGTCTGAGAGTAGAGATAATCATCTTCGTAAATCGTCCGGTGGTTTTAAAAGTATGACCAGCGAAACAGTCAATGAGAAGCATGTCTTATGACAATTCAGTTCTGTTTGGCTGCTTCTTGATCTCAGTAGTGCTGCAGGATCACTTGTTTTGGTTTAGTTGGTGTTTGCTGACCAGCACAAAGACACGCAGACATGCAATGCAGGTGCTAATAGCGACCTAAATAGCATGCACATAATTTGAAGGAACACATGAGCATGCATCTTACCGCACGTTGCAAAACCTGTACATGTTCCCTCCAAGACGCGAAATCGTGGGTAGGGGTAAAAAAAAAATTGCACGTTCAACGTTTCAAGCGTTTTATGTCAAAGGAAAGAGTCGTGGTCGTGTAAGTCACATCTCTGTTGTTTTGCTTGTCCCAGGTGCTTGTTTTTGTTAATTCGTTCGACTGTTATTTCTAGGTAGCACTCTCTGTAGTATGCAGGATGCGACTGTTGCTGCTTTGGGAGTAAAAAATATACAGTAATACCTCGTTAACACGAAGTTGTAAACACCAGGAAAAATTTTGAGGTAAGTGGATTTTTCAGATAAGCAAAGTTGCGCTAATTGCCGGGAAGAACGAGTGTTTTTCAGAAATATCACTGCTACCTACCGACTCTTCAGCGGCAGTTTCAAATCTTTCTTCTCTAGCAGGATTTAAAAGAGAAAAAAAAAAAAACATACAAGAGACTTTAATCGTCTGGGTATTGCTGCACTGCCATTTTATTTAGGAGATAAAAACTGCCTAATGCTCCTCTGCTTTGTGGTCGTACTCGGGCCTAGGGAGGCGTTTTCCAGCGGCTTGGCGCATCGCATCAGTCGATCTTCGCCGCTGCTCTCGACCTTATTTCGAAGCAAGTGCAGCAAATTTCTCGTCTCGGAAGGTCTCGGCATCTCCCGAGGTGGTTTGTCATCGCCGTTTTTTCCGCCGTCTCCTACGTTAGTGGCTGTTGAAACGATTTCGGCGTCCATAATTTCTCCGGTCACTGCTACATCCTGATCACACAGCACGTACTCCAGAAAAGTCACGCCATTTTTGGCGGCACTGTTTCCTGTAAGCTTGATAACCTTTTGACAAAGTTCCTCATAGTCTGTGAAGTCACCCGTCTCTCTGCTTCCGGCAAACTGGCGGCACATGAAAACCCAGCGTTTGCAAAGCAATCAGCGATAGCTGCTGCACGAACTTGCTACCAAGCGCTGCTGAAAAAGTGTACTGCTTCCAGCGAGTCAATTTTGTATCCTTTGCCAGTTTCGTAATGCAACAAAACTCTGTGAAGAAGGCTCTTTCGGTAGATTTTTCGGGCCACTTTAATGACATTTTTGTCTATTGGCTGCAGCACAGACGTCATATTTGCAGGCAGAAACTCTACTGTTACTGCCTCCAAATTCTCTATTTTGCCATGGCCTGGGCGGTTGTCGACGATGAACAGGGCTTCTCCGTTTTTCTTGGCCATCTCGTTATAAGTAGCGTGAATATACTCTTTGAAAAGAGTAGCAGTCATTCACGCTGCTCTATTTTCCTTATAGATAACGCCATTCGGCAGTCATGCATTTCTAAAGCACCTAGGCTTTAGAGCCTTGCCAATTATGAGTAACGGCAGCTTCTCTTCACCTGCAGCATTTGCCCCGAAAAGGACAGTGCCCCTGTTCTTCCATTGTTTCACTTCCGAGCACACTCCACCCTTCAGTTTGAAGGTATGGCTCGGTAACATTTTATATAAAAAAAAAAAGAAGTGCTGCCTCAGCAAGGTTGAAAATGTCGCTGTCAGCGTAACTCTCGCGCTACTCCGTGAGTCGGCTGCTGCGCCAATCACCTGCAGTGCTTGCGTCGACAGTGTCGTTCTCGTCGTGCTCTGACTTGGACACCACACTTTTTTTTTTTTTGAAGCAGTCAGGCCAGCCGTTGCTGCAACTGAAGTCCATATGCCCCATTTGCAAGGCCAAAGCATCTGCCTTCTCCGTCATTATTGCTGTGGTGACATAGGGAAGGTTGGCCGTTCTGGCATTGCAAAGCCATACCATCAACGCCGCTTCAACGTCTGGGTACTTCGACCCTCGAACCCGATTCCACTGGCTGGAGAAACTCTACTGAAATCCATCCAGCACCTTCCGCTTGTTTTTAGTACCGTAGAAAGTGTTAACAAAGAGATGCCGAATTCCTGTGCGATGCTCGATTTTGTTCGGCCTCCTTTCTCCACTTCCTTAATTAGGGCAATCTTTCTTTATAAGCAACTTTCATTGTTTTGACGCCATGCTTCCTCCATTCGTGCCAAGTTGCCGCTGCTCACAGTCAGCGAAAAATTCGTACTGCTCAATTTGCACAGACGAACGGAAATCAAGCCTCAGGGAAAGTCACAAGCACTGCACTCACAGCCAGCAAAAAATCTGTACCTTGTGGTTTGCGCAGATGAACAAAAATCACACCTCAGGGAAAATCATGTGCACTGCACATAGCTAATGAGACGAACCATGCCAAGCGTGGACTGAGGACTTCCATGCCCAGTGCATGTGTCGCATGACCTGCCACAGGGTTGCTTGACAAAGTTGACATATCGCTGAGACTTTTGCGCACTTCGCGTTTGCGAGTAGCATATGTAGTGACAAGCAGGACTAAATAAGAAAAAAAAAAAAGACAGACTTAAGGCATGGCAGCATCACGCGAATCTTGTGGAATGGTCCGATAGCGGAATTTTCGTTCCACACCCAGTCAAAATTCTGAGTTATCCACAATCCGACCCAGAAATACATTGAGAAAGGGAAGTATATACATGGAACGTGTAGGAAAATGTTCGGTTCTGCGATTTATTTCGACTTAGCTGATTTTTTGAGATATGTGAGTTAATGAGGTATTACTGTATTTCTTATTGACTTTCCAGTGAAGTTGATACTTGTTAGTAGAGCTTGAATCTTTGTATTTATGTCTTCTCACTACACGGTGACAATCAATCATGCCTCTGTGCATTAGTATATCTGGGCAGCTTGGTGCAATATTGCTTGAAGGCTTTCTTGTTTTATTGTTAATTATTAATGGCGATGTGTCACACAATATCGTTCAGCACGTGCTCTGACCTTATGGCTCAGCTCCTGTCATTTTGTCCAGGGAACAATGGAGGAGAAGATCTACGATCGCCAGGTGACCAAGCAGTCCCTGTCGTGCCGCGTCGTGGATGAGCAGCAGATAGAGCGCCACTTCAATGCGTCCGACCTTCTAGAGCTCTACAATTTTACTCCAGACAGCAAAAGCAATAGACCTACACCCATGGTGCCTAAGGTATGTGCCTAGTGAACACGTGTTAGCAAACAAAAATAAGACGTGCAGCTCTGCGGGATTACCTTACCATCTTGTGGAAGAATGTAGAAATGTTCCAAAAACCGGGTGAGTTCCTCATTCTAAATGGTTTACGTTGACTTGACTCAGCCAAATATAACAAACTTACACAGACATTTCACCACTTATATAGGTGGCGTACTCATTGTACACTGACCCCTAAATGAGTGGGGGCCTCCGAGTCCACTGTTAGCCTCGTAAGTCACCGTAAACATCTGCTAGGAGGCCGGGGTAGTTATTGCACATTGATGTGTCGTGACGGATGAACCATGATTTTAGGAATTCCTTTTTGCCGCACTTCTGTTCCCGAGCCAGTGTCACCGCATTGTTGAAGTCAATGGTATGTCCTGTTGTCCAGCAGTGTTCAATGAGCTTCGTCTCATAATGCAAGGCATGGATGGCTTTGGTGACGTCCCCTTTGTGCTCGTCTAGCAAACACTTTTTCGAGTACTGCTAGTTGTTTCCTTCATCAGATTCTGGTTCCCGCTACTTTTTGCCCAAGGGATGAATGGGCCGTCTCTAACTTGTCGCTCCACGTGAGGGTGTTCTGGTTGCCATTTCTTATCAACGTATCATGCATTGCTAGGAAAATGACAAACACTGCTTGTAGTTCAGTGCTGACTACTGCCAAACAATAGTGTTAACAATCTTTGCGGAGCCTTTCTTTTTTTTCAAGGGGTGCGGTGATATTTGAAATTTTGAATACTTTTCGAATTGTGCTTGCTATTCGATTCGATTGGCACCGGAATATTACTACTCGAAATATTTGAAATTCCCGAAGACAAATACAGTCATATGTCCGATTGACAGTGGCCCCTTCAGATTTTCAATATGCTTCACCACATCACACTCTTGTATTATGGCAAAGCTGGCTCTCAGGCTCTGCAGCACTCTCAATAGTATTGACACGAGAAAAAGCTAGTTCCAACGTGAAGTTTATAAATTTGGCAGAGATGGAGGCTCAATTAATGCTGTTTCAAACCTGAAAATTTGGACCAGAAGTTCGAAAAATCAGACGCTGAAGATTTTAGCATTCGAAATTTCAGATTTTATATATTGATGTCTACAAGACAGATTAGCAACTCCGGACTCAAAGAAAGCACAGCCCTGTCCACCACTACAGTTAGGCTTCCATAGAAGTGGGAAGAAGAGGAGAAGCTGAGAAAATGGCATCTTTGCCTTTCAGGTGTAAAGTGTTGCCTCCAACACCATGGTTGCAACAAATTATGTGCATAAATACAATTCAGCGTGTGCATTGCCTCATTCTTGATAAGACAACTATGAAACACCACCCCTCCAGCATTTCGTCAACCTAGCTTAAGAAAACACTTTCATATTGCCATCCTAAAGAATACACTTAGGAATCCTCTTTTTTTTTGCACTTTCACTTCGAAGTATTTGGAAATATTCAAAAAATGTTCTATGCTATTTCATTTGCACTGGCACTTCAATTTTCGAAGTCGCCCTCACACCCAAAATTTTGCTACAGTATAAGCTCGTTACAACGGATCTGTTTACAGCAGTCATACAGATACTAAATACCAATTGGCATCGTTACGCCAACCTCCCTATTCGTTCTATTGATTGTGCTTCAGTAACTACGAATTCTAGTGCAGAAGACATTTGGATATACAGTTGAACCCGCGTATATCGAACTCGCCAAAAAAAAACATTTATTAGTTCGATATATGGCATAATTCGATATAGGCCCGGTATAGGTTTTGACACAAAGGCACATAACAAACTAGAAGAAAAGTACTTTATTAATATGGTGGCTTACTTGCGTGCCCTACTGTGGAACAAAATAGTCCCGGATTTTTTTCTGTGTCAATGACTTCGCTGCCTGCGACAGCACGCACGCCTCCGCGCTGTCCAACGAGTCCGAGCAGCTGAGGCCGCAACCTTCCACATTCAAGCAATAGCGCCAGACCAACACAAGTGCACTAATCACTTCGGAGGATGTAAGCAATGGGCCGTCGTCGATTTCCATATTGCTGTCGCTTTGGCTCGTGGTAGGCACGACGTCTGCAATGTAATCCTCATCCTGTAAATTGGCCCATGATGGGGACATCATCGTCCGCACTGACGAACTCGTCGAATGTCGATCCATCGATAGCACCCGGAACTCTGCCAGCTCGTTTCAAACTTCGGCGGAAACACCTGCGGTGTCTTCAGTGCTGTTAGAATTCGGGGTGTCATCACCAGGCATGCAAAAGGCGGCATGCCTAAAGCAGTTCTGGATCGTCTCCTCCTTGACATCTGCCCACGATCTACTCAACATAGAAATAGCTCCGAGCAAGTCGATCTTAAGCTCCCTGCTGACACGAAGGTTCTGCAGCAGCATCTCCATCAAGCGCTTCTGATAGCCGGCTTTCATTGCGCGTATAACGCCTTGATCCAGTGGTTGCAGTACAGACTTAGTGTTCGGGGGCAAAAAACGCAGCTCGATGTTGGTGAAGGTCGTACTGCAGTGGCGCGATGAACAATTGTTCGCGAGCAGGCGCACCTTGCGATTTTTGCCTACGAAATCATCATTCCACGACGATAGCCATCTGCTGAAAAGCTCCCCGGTCATCCACGCTTTTGAGTTTCCTCGGTAGGTAACTGGAAGCGACAGCGCATTTCGAAAACACCGCGGTGCCGTGCTTTTCCCGATAACCAGAGGTCGAAGCTTTTTCGATCCGTCTAAATTAGCTGCCAACAGCACGGACGCACGAGCTTTCTTTGCCTTGCCGCTGCTTGTCTTGTCGCCACGACACGCAAGTGTCTTGTTTGGCAACATATGCCAAAATAGAGCGGTTTCATCCGCATTGAAGATATCTTGGGCTCTATATCTTGCTGCGATATCTCGCCAGTTTTCCTCGAGCCATTTTTCTACGCTGTCCAGGTCCGCTGCTCTGCTTTCACCTGTAAACAGCGTTGCCAACGATGTCATGCTGTTCTTTGAACCACTGAAGCCAGCCTGAACCGCCTTGGAATTCATTCCTGCCAAGCAGAAAAGCAAAGTCCTTGGCTTTCTGCTCGATCATAGGGCCGGAAATCGGGATGTTTCGCGACCGAACGTCCACAAACCACTTGTAAACGGCCGCTTCAACATCTTCGTACAGAGCAGCGCGTACACGTCGGGCGCCACGGGCACCTGGCCTTTTGTCCGACTTGGCCCTGATGTCTGCCTTGTTCTTCAGGATAGTACTCAAGGTGCTTCTTGGAATTTTGTACGCGGCGGCGACGTCGGACTTCTTTTCACCGCGCTCAACCCGATTGATGATTTCGAATTTCGCGGCGAACGGCAAATTTTGCCTCTTTGCGCAAGCCATGATGACAGCGCGCCAATACAGTTCACTGAGCACCAACAGGCAACACCACAGACCACGCTGAATCGGCAGCAGCAGGCATACAAGCATAAAGAAAGAAAAAATGGCGCTCACTTCTACTGCCTCCGCACCTCGAAGAAAGCACAACGGCCTTTGATTGGCTGTAAGCGGTGCGAGCGGGCCAGGATAATTTCTTGGAGGGGGGTATTTGCCCGCGCACAACCGGGTCTAACCAACTTTTTCTAGGGTGGCGCCGGCAGTTTTCCCCGCCACCGCGAGGGAAAGCCAACTTGCTGGGGCACTTTTGAGGCTCATGGAGTTTGATATATCAGTTGTTGCTATTTTCGTTCGATAAAACAGTAACTTTTGCTATATATTCTCAATGTAAACTTACCGTGTTTAGGAATTATTCAATATACGGGATAATTTGATATAAACGGGTTCGATATAGTCTGGCTCAACTGTAATCAGGAGCGAAGCCATGGGGTAGCACACCGAGGGCATGTGCCCCCTCCCCCCCCTCAAAATTTTTGTTGCCATAGCATAGAGAGCAAAATATGACCATTTTAAGAAGGTGCCCCTTCCAAAATCAAGATGGTTCCACCCCCCTCCCCCCAAAAAAATTCCTGGCTATGCACCTGTATATAATTGACTAAAATTTAAGGCCAGCAAGGTGGTCCGGACTCTTTTACAGCAAACTTTTCTCCCACGGACATGATAAATTCAATAACTTCCAGACTTCAAAGGTCGCTTGGCTTGCTTTCGGTACAGGAACAGCGCGCTGGGGATATTCATGTACCGATTTAAGAATAAAGGCTGCCGATCCAGTCTGATCAGTGATGCCTATCTATGGCGACAAAAAATCGTTTTGGTACAGTATATCTAGTACACTATAGTTTTGACACACGACGCCACTGTCATCGCTCTCCTCTGAGCTGCCGATGCGCCAAATATCCATTCATAGTTCTGAGGAGCCAGTGGGCGATGTTATTCATTGCTTTCGATGGAGCGCATTACGGCTTTTTTGCTGTCGCATGTCCGCTAGCGCGATGGTCCTTGCCCACTAAGTTCGGAGCGAGTTAGGTCTAGCCAGAACTTTGAGCAGAAAGCTCGGTTGCTATGTGTGTGACTGCAATGTCCGATTTTCGAAAGTGTGTCAAACTTGATTGCGAGTGTAAAGAGTTTTTTTGCGTTGGTATTTGTCACAAGGTTTGAAATGCTGATAAGCAACACCGTTAACAGCAGATCTAACGAGAACGCTATTACAGTAGGTCCGAGTTGTGCGTCTGCGATATTCGTGACAAGTGTGGCGCGCTTTCGTAATCTGTCAACTGAATGATTGAACTTTTTCTTGCAGCTGCCTTAACTAAATGCGACCTAAGAACACAAAACGAGTGTGAAAATGTCACTAAGTAGTGCGATTTTTGATGGTTGTGCTGTTCAGGAGCTATAATTTTTTTGGAAAATTTTTTTTGTTTATGTTTGTGCGTCGTCCACAATGATTTTAGTTACCTCGGCAGGCACGATTTTTTACAGCACTTATGCGTAATTTCCAGCTTGTAGTTTCATTTATAAGAAACTGGTTTTCAGTGTTAAGATGCAGTAGAATCTCGATGATAGGATTATGGTTGATGCGAATTTTGTGATGATACAATTTTTAAGGTTGTTTTGGATGGACTACATTATATAAAACACACCGTAATTCATTGCTATACGAATGATTTCCCCAGCCACCACAGATGATACGAATGTGCGATTGACCGCTGCATGCCAGCGGCGCAACACGGCAGAAATGCCGCGAAGCCGGTGCGAAAAAAATCGGTCTGAGATCAATTTTCCCGCCACACGATAGCATAATATCGCCTTTTCTCTTCACGGTTTTGGCTTCGCTTCACCGGCTGCTCCATTTCTTAAACCACGTGATGTCAACAACCAACCGCAAATCAACATGGCAGGCGAAGGCATCGGCAGTCAGTCGCGTCAGCGCTATCGTGAAGTACTTGTGCGGCATGTCAAAGCTCATGGCCTTGACAAGAACGCGGTCGTCGAGAGGCTGGTTTGGATCACGATCGCTGATAACACCGGAAGTAAAAGGCGCAGCAGCAGTGAGTCGGCTTGCCTGAGCGTGCCTTGCTTTTGCATTGCCGGCTGAATCCGTCGTCGCCGCTGTGCCCGCTCGTGTCATTTCGGCTGGCGTGTCTTCCGAAATAATGTTAGTAAAGGTGTAAACTGTTTTTTTTTCAGTGCCCTATATGCATAATTATAACTCCGTACGAACTTCAGTGCTCAGGAAAAGGGCAAAATGGATTGAATTCTCAAGCGGTGGCGGCGGGGGTGGCGGAACGAATGTGAACGTTTTCAGTGGGTGCGAACGTGGTTTTCCTGCGGCGCTGGCATTTTTGCTTGAAGTTTCCTATGCGAATTCTTCAGGACTTTTTTTTTTTTCTCGACTTCGCGGCACGGTTTTCCGGCTGCTTAAGCAAGGAAGTGAGTGAATTTCCAATTAGTTTAGCCGCTTTCACTTTCTCTGATGTCAACTGTGAATGCGCTGCACCAGCAGCATGAGTGAGGAAACCGCAGCACTTAATTAAGAGACTGTGAAAGCAGGAAAGTTCAAAAGAACATCGCAGACTTTTTTTCAGCAAGGTGTAGTTGCCAATGAATTTCTTGTTCATCATATTTATCAGCTTTAAGTTGTTTTTAGTTCCTACGAATTCGGGCTGATACGAATTTTTTGCACGCTCCTTTCGAACTCGTACCTTTGAAATTCTACTGTATTTTGAAATCAGATAGAAAAATGGCTACTCAAACTGAAAATGTGATGTTCCAAAAATCAATCAAAATCCGTTTATCACTTGTAAATCTCCGGTTATAACAGACTGAGCCTGTGTTTACATAGAAGTCTGTTGCAACAGTGCTTTGATTTTACATGCTCCTTTTACAATGTACCGAAATCGGCTTGTGGGAATTGAGGCCGGCCCGCTGCTTTTGCGTGGGTTTTGCCGCCTCGTTTCTCCGTTCTCATGTCCCGACATGTCTCCCCTCCTCTGCTGTCTGCTGCGCTGGGAGAGCGGAGTGACGTTTAATCCCCTCACCCGGTAGCAGATGTTGACCGTGGCACGCGCGCGGAGTCTCCCATGAGGCTTTGCGCACGCGCGTCGGGAGGAGAGAGAGGCTTCTCCGCGGACGACATAGGGGTAAGCACGCTTTTCTTTTCCGTTCGTCAGCTCCCTGTGGGGCTTGTTCGGACTTCGCCAACAGCGCCTTGCGCCCGCGGCGAGCGCTTATCTTATGTCACCCCCCCCCCCCCCTCCCTCCCCTTCTGAACCTAGGCCAAAGAGTGGTGTGGATCCCTAGTGCGTGGCCAGGCTAGGCCGACCCGTATCTCTCTGCAGCCAACGCGAGCGCCTTTGCTCTCGCTCGAGCAACCGGGCCTTGGTCCCGGTGTCTCCGTGGATCACCTTTACCGCGGAGACGTGCTCAAGGCACCCCGTGTAGTACTTGTATGCCCGTGGCGTAAATAAGCCTATTTGCTTTCCCACCGCGCCTTTGCAACGGGTTGTTGCAAAGGCGCGGTGGGAAATTTGGTGTTGCCACATACAATAAAGTGTTGCGACTATGAGCAGTATCGTGTTCTCGCCACGGCGATGGTCAACGCGTGCCCTGCGGCTCGCTAAGACCGGGCCCACGCTAGTGGCCGTACTCCTTCGGGATACGTGTTACTACAGTCTTCACTATGGAGGTCTGTTCTAATGAGGTTATACTGTATTTGCACAGCTCTACTTTTCTCCTACAACATTCAACTGCACAGATCAGTAGAAAACTTTAGAGGAAGGTCTCTCCTACAAAGTAAGGAGTTTTATTCTTCGTCCTCAAACTTCTCGTTTACGATTAAATTTTAACAGTTGACATTCACAAAAGCTTATTTAACTAAATGCACTTGACATTTCGTGGTTTGTGTCCAGCACTGCAGGGCATGAACCCCAGAAAAGATGCCACTGGGATGCCTGCCCCACAAATCAGCATCATTTATTCTCAAAAATGTTCTCTATACATATAGCCCTATTCTGTGCCCAGTAAAGTGTTTACAGTTACACTTTCCATGTGGCTTTGTGTTTAATATATTTAATTTCTTCACTTTTCTCTCTCTCTCTCTCTCAATTTTAAAGGACCGGCTCTTGGCGGAGCTGCTGATTCGCAACAAAAACTGGATTGTATCCTACCACGAGCACGACTCCTTACTCCAGAACATCACTTCTGAAGAACTCACGGAAGAGGAGCGCATGCTTGCGTGGGAAGAGTACAGGAATGAGCGCGAGGGACGAATCAACTCCAACATTGCCGACTTGCGTAAGTTTGCAGCTATGTGCGTGAAGCATTTCGAATCTTGTCACTTCGATGCATTAGGTTTTATTTTATAATTTTTGAAGGGAATCTCATCTCTGCAAATAGTAGACTAACAAAACGTTATTATGTCGATCCTCATAAACTGAAAAGATTAGGTAAGTTAGGTTTGTTCTCTGGATCTGAGAAACATGTATTATTTTAAGTGTCTCTTAACAGAAAAGGAAAAAGAAAAAGTCTTTCTTTTAATTTCATTGGCTAATGCTATTTTTTCATTGAGTGGAAACCATACAGAACTTTATGCAATACACAAATATGAAATGGAGTAAACGGTTAAAGAATGGAGGGTTTTACATAGCAACACCTTTTAATGAGGGAAAGAAGTGTAAATTTAACAGTTCATTTTTTTTTTTTGTTAGGCACTACATTAAGAAGAACTAATGGACAATGATGCCAAGGAAAGCATAAGGGACGTCATTATTAGAAGTAATTGTGATGTAAGTGTGAAAAAAAAAAAAAAAATGGACGAAAAGATAACTTGCCACGGACAGGAACCGAACCTGAGACCTTCGAATAAAGCGTCCGATGCTCCACCACTGAGCTACACTGGTGGTCATCCCCCTGTCCACTTTATAGGATATACATGCGCATTTAAATGTGAGAGCATCGGTCAGTGCCGCCTGTTCCCATCCGGCAATTGTTTATTGCTTGTTGGTGCAAACAGTCATAAGAGTTTTCTACACTTGCTATCATGGCAACAGGCTGTGGGGTCACCTGGAGCCATTCAGCTTCCATAAAGCTTGCCCTTAGTACGTGATTATGTGTTTAATCTTTGTATGCCTTGTAGTTCCATTTACTGTGTTTATCTATTTTTATTGGCCTAAAATTTAATAAGCAATAGTTTTCTTTTAAAAACACAAAAGGCTTTTATGATCCCCCAGAATGTACAAACAGTGATATGTCACGATTGTAACAGTGTTTTGTTCAAACCGCTCGGTTTGATATGTCGCAAAGCCATGTAAGTTTGTACAGTTGGAGATCAGACAGATCAATATGCTAATCATCAATCCTTTGCTTGTTTCACAATCATTCTTGCCACTCCCATAGACACTGATTGCTTTCTTTTTATGAAGCTCTGTAGTAAAAGAAATACTTCTTGTCGTATTTTTTTTTTTCGGCTTTTTGAAACTGATGATCAAATGTTGTTTTTGTAGCCACGTCTATCACTTCGGAGGGTATGGGGCAGACCTTCACGCTCTCACTGGACCTCAATAGGATGATAGCTGACATTAAAACCAAGGTATGTAAACCAGTTCATTGCATATATCTCACTGGACCTCAATAATGATGATAGCTGATGTTAAAGTCAAGGTATGTAGACTAGCTCATCGCACATATCTCTATTTGCAGGCCTGTTTTCAAATGGGCCACTTTGTCACATTTACTTATCTAGCAGTGTGGAATTTAGCAAGTGCTTTTTTTTTTCGATGTAACTCAGGATTGAAGGCTGCAGGAAAGGTTGGGTGTGGGGTGGCGTGTCTGCACACCCGCAACGCAAGTGTGTAGGCTCGTTATGGTTGCAGGTGTTTTTCGTTTTGCCTGGGAGCACACACATGTTGTGCATGCTTTCTGTGTTTGTTCTTGCTAAAGACAGAGCCTATTTTTTAATCATGCAGTACCCATACTTGACACCTAATCAACTGGTTGATCAGCTAAGGAAGGTTCTGCTTGCATACCGTCAAGAGTTCCAGCAGCGACAAATGAGTGCATTTGAGAAAAGAAACATGGTGAGCTCTTCAGAGGTCATTTTTCTAAGAATTATTGACTTGTTAATTTATCCTCATAGACAATCACTTTATTCCTGGATTGCATTTCAGTTCCTCCAGGCAAAGCAACCAGTACCAAATGAAGTCGCAACTCAACTTACGGAATCAAGCCTGGCCATTCAACAATTGAATCGGGTCCTTGCTAAACTTCAAGGACTTGGAGCGGTAAGATATGTCGAGTGTCAGCGACTAGTCTAGCAAAACGCCTGCCACTGTGGTGAGCACGCTGATATGCTACATACAGTAAAACTTTATTAATTTGAACTTGGATTATTTCGAAATCTTGCTTAATTTGAAAGATTCCTGCGATTCAGTATTTTGCAATGTAAGTCTTAGTGGATAATGTGAAGTGGCAGTTTGCATCAGTTTAGTTAATTCAAGAACTTTAAGTGCCATATGCCAATTCCCAATCCCGATTTTGCCGCAAATCTGCAGGAACGACTGCCCTCTAAAGCCACAACACAATGCAGCATAGTTACTACTGAGTGGCACCTGAATTACCCCAGCCCCGCTACTTCCAGCTTAAAAAAAAAGAAAAAGAAAAAGTGGTAGATCTCACATACAATGAAAATCGATATGGGAAGCACAAATGAGAAGGGTTGAATTGTCATATCAGCACAATGTTACGAGGCAAATGTAAATTATGCGTACATGGTTTTCATGTCATGGTTATCATGTTTGCGCCTGGCATTTGTGCTCAGTCGTCCAATCACGTCACGTACCCCACAGGGGCGCCTGCGCAAGTAGGCGTTTGGTGTGTAGCGACACCACGGACCCGAGCTAACGGGGGAGTTTCTACTCCCTCCCACGCCTAGCCGTGCGTGGCTTTGCCGTGTCCGGGGAAAATGGGATCCTGGGGGTTGAGCCGACGCTGAGTGATTGGACCATTAAGGCCCCCCCGGCAGAGGCAACACGCCCCTTTGGCCCCGGCTTCACGTAGACGGCACCCCTGGGCTGACCCACCCAGGGGAAATCGGCAGTCGCCTTTTCCTATCTCTTTCTCCCTACATTCTTTCTTACTTTTTTAGCTTTCCTGTCTACTTCCCTCTTCTGCTTACTTCCAATTTTTTCGGCGGCAAGGGTTAACCCTGTGCTAATAGCCTACCTTGGCCTAGGTGCATTGGGTTATAGCAGAGTTGTACGGCTGACGTCTGCAAGCTTTCAGCATCCGCAAACTTGCAGCGTCCCCTCGTTGGGCTCCGTGGTGGGTGGCCGCCAACGCTGCTGAACAACATACAATTAGCATGCAAAAGCGTTCCCTTTACTTAGTGATCGTGCCTCCTCAAAGCGGTTACGCACCGAAGACTATCAATTTTTTCATCCGGCCAAGACGTTATACACTGCGAAAAAACTAACAAGCAAGCCAGAACTGTATCCCCCTTAATAGTGGCTAGGTACTTAACCGAAACTCTCTGTGCCGGGTACAAGGTTACCAAAATGGCCAGCGGAGATCTACTCCTTGAGATACGTGACAAAGACCAATTCGATAAACTGAACACCCTCACAACGTTTGGAGACACACCCATCAGTATTACGCCACACAGGTCCATGAACTCATCTTGCGGGGTCGTATCGGACGTAGATTTGCTTGACCTGACCGAAGCTGAACTTCTAGAAGGATGGAAGAGCCAGAACGTGACAAACGTACAGCGTATTAAGATCAGAAGAGATCAAAAGGAAATCCCCACCAAACACTTAGTACTGACCTTTGCTTCGAGCGATTTGCCGCAAACCATTCAGACTGGGTACACAAAGACAACCGTGAGGCCATATATTCCCAACCCCCGCCGTTGCTTCCAATGTCAGAGATATGGCCATGGCTTGCAAAGCTGTCGTGGCCGGAAAACTTGTGCTCTGTGTGGAGTCGTGGGCCATGCGTCCGACAACTGCGAAGCACCTGCACACTGTGTGAACTGTGGCGGTAATCATGCCGCGTACTCACGTTCCTGTTCTTTCTGGAAAAAAGAAAAAGAGATCATCACTTTAAAGATAAAAGAAAACATTACATTTAAAGAAGCAAGAAAAAGAGTCTCGCCATTTTATGGCCCCACATATGCTGATGCGGCGCGCCATGGGGAAGTGTTGCACCAGCCCACGCCACTCCTTTCGGCCTGCGCAGAGCGAGCCATTGGCTGTGGCGCCTGCCCCCAAGGCGGCAGTAGTTGAGTCTACTCCACCTACTATTGAACAGAGACCAGAGACTCCAGGGTCCTCGGGTCTCAAGGCCTCACCTCGCCAGGCGAGGCCCAAGCTTCGAAAAATCAGCTCGCATGAGCGGGCATCGAGTGCCTCCGAGGAGGCAAAGGATACAGCTGCACCCCTGGTGCCAAAAGAGCGGCGCGGCTCTTTGGAGTGCGCCAAGAGAACTAAAAAGCTCATAACAGGGCCTGATATTAGCCCTGTTACTTGAGCTCGACCTTTCAGCTTAAACAAGTCACTCCCTTAACGTACACACAGCACTACTTTACTTTCAATATGGAAACACAAATTATACATTGGAACGTCAGAGGACTGCTTAAAAACCTCGACGACGTCCAAGAGCTTTTATACAAACACTCATCTCAAGTGCTGTGTGTACAGGAAACACACATAAAATCCTCTAATACAAATTTTTTACATGCTTGCGTCATATACCGAAAGGACCGAGATGATGCTGTAGCGTCATCCGGTGGCGTAGCCATTATTATTAACCAAGGTGTAGCGTGTACACATTTACCACTCCAGACATCCCTTGAGGCGGTGGCTGTTCGAGCTGTACTTTTAAACAAACTCGTCACCATCTGCTCTTTGTATGTACCTCCCCACCACCGTCTTGAAAGACGTGAATACCAGTCTTTAACAGACGAACTGCCCGAACCTTATTTGCTTCTTGGGGACCTAAATGCACATAGTGGACTGTGGGGCGATTCTCGCTGTGATGCACGAGGTCGTCTCATTGAACAATTTCTCTTCTCTTCCGGTGCCTGTCTGTTGAATAGGAAAGAGCCAACATACTATAACGTTGCCAACAAAACTTACTCGTCTATAGACCTCAGCATCGTATCACCTTCACTCCTACCCCTACTGAAATGGAAAATCATAAATAATCTATATGGAAGTGACCATTTTCCTGTAGTGTTGAGTTCACAAAGAACATATGTATGTCCTCTACTTGTTCCCAAATGGCTGATAAACAAAGCAGACTGTGAACAGTTCCACAACACTACACGTTTGAGTTGGACAGACATATGTAGGTTAAACATAGATGAAGCTGTGCAGTACTTCACAGCTTTTCTAACTGACGCAGCAGCCAAGTGCATACCGCAAACATCTGGAATGCCCGGCAAACTACACGTCCTATGGTGGAACACAGAGTGTCGTAATGCGCGAAAGGAACAGAACAGGGCATGGAGGTTGCTTCGGAACTCGCCAACAGCCGAAAATCTTGACACCTTCAAGAAAATAAAGTCTCAAGGCAGGAGAACTGCGTCGGTAGGCCAGAAGAGAAAGCTGGCAGAAGTTTTTGTCATTAAGGGGAGACGCTCCTCGAAAAAGTTTTTTTTTTTATTTCTAGTAATAGAGACTTGAAAAGTTTGTTATTAGTATAGTTTTTCATGCAGATTTCAAATATGCAATCATTTTTTGTGTAGCTGCTATAATTATTGAGTTATGCCATAAACAATAGCAAAAAGTTACATTTTTTGCGGGCACTCTTTTATGTACTAAACTTTCAGTAAAAGCACCGTGTCTGATCTTATGTGACTCTTGGTAGATTGAAAAGTGCAAATATCTATATAGATATGTCACAGAAATATTGGAACCAAGAAAAAAAAATAGTATTGAATGACTTATTATTTTCAATCTCCCTTGAAACAATAAGCTAATATTTTCACAACTAATGCTCGTAGGCATTGCAATTTAGAGTAAATATTTGCATTCTGCATGTGTTGAAGAATATGTGTGCCAAGTTTCGTTACTATACAATGAATATAGGTTTCTAAAAGGCTGCCCGGAAAACGTGAAACTGTCAGAAAAAAATGAAAATGAGAAAAACAAGTTTGAAAGTTCGCAAAGTTGGCATTTATTAGGAAATCATTCTTTTTGCATCAAATTGGGGCACAATGAAAAGTACCTTGCCTTGAATGCACTGCAAGTGTCTAGAAGTTCCCTGCACCATAGCTTGGTCCTTCACGGCTCTTGCGGTCAGCGTCCTCAACACGAGCTCTCTTCGCTGTGTTGCGACGGTGTGCCCTCGCTTCTGCAGTTTGCTTCAGGTTCATCTTCCTGATGCGCATGACGTCACAGGGGTCACCATGTGTGGCCAGATCTTGTGAGGGGAGAATTCCAATGCCTTCGAGCACTTCTTCAAAGCCCCTGTGGCCTTTGTTGTACCAGAGTACAGCAAGAGCGGTGGCTGTCTCCACAGTTGTTCTGGAGGCGAACTTTGTTTTTGGACATAGCAGCCATATCTTGCTGTTCAGCGATTCGGCTGCATTCTGTGTCTGGCCATGAAGGCACCGAATAAGGAGTTTCTCCTCTGTAAGGCGCTTGTAGATAGGCATAATTGCCAATCCTTGAGCCTTCGTCAACAGTGGGGTGTGGCGTGGTGCAGGCTCCCCCAGTGCTTCCGCATGCTTGTGCTTGCACCACGAATTTGGTCCCGCGGGGCAAAAGTTGTGGCTACTGGCACCATCACTGGAGCAGCAATGAAAATACGATGCCCATATGGCAGTGTACATATTTCGGACACTGTCCTTGTTGCTCGTGATGGCGATCTTGTAATATGTTTGTAGTTTTACTATTGTCGCATTTTTCAGTTTTTCGCCTCGTGGCAGTGGCGTCGCCAATTTCCGTAGGGCAGTTCCCAAGCGCTTTGCAACGTGGTTCGTGCACTCTTCTTTGTCAATGGGGGTGTCACAGTATACATTTGCCTCGCAGACTGCAGTGTAGGCCTTGCTGTCAGCATCACTTAGGAAGCTGGTGAATCGCAGTGGAGTTTCATAAGACAAGTGCCATATATTGACAGCTGCCGCAGGTTCCGTTGCATGGGATGAGCAGTCAGTGTTTTTTTGGCAAACTGGAAGATGAAAAGCTCGCCATATCTCTTCATCCTCCCCAAGGTCCCTGTGTATACTGCAAGCATGGCAGTAGTTCGAAAGAACTCCAAAATCGAGACAGAGCCCCGT